TAATAACTCATTGACATCTATTATTTCATGGCTCACTAATAATAATTTAAAAATTAATTTGAATAAAACAAGTATAATGCATTTTAATCAGAGAATACAAAATCCGTTGCAAGTAAAATTAGTTTATGACAATTATACAGTAAAAGAAGTAACCAACGCTCGATTTCTTGGCCTCATTATAGATAGTAAATTAGCTTGGAAGGATCACATTGAAACATTAAGTAAAAGAATCAGCAGTCTATCATATGCCTTATTTAAACTTGCTCCAATAGTTACTACTGATGCACTTCTCTCAGCATATTATGGCCTTGTTGAGTCGGTTATGAGATATGGCATTATTTTCTGGGCAAATTCGACTTGTAAAGATGTAATCTTTAAAATGCAAAAGCGACGCATTAGAGCCATGTTCGGAATCCAAAGTAGTGAAAGTTGTAATCCGCTTTTTAAAAAATACAAAATTCTCACACTACCGTCCCTATATATATTGGAGGTGGCTACCTTTGTAAAAAAAAATCCTCACTTATTTCCTAAGCTATCGGACCATGTAAGCCGTAATCGCCGCGACAATGATAGACTTTGTGTCCATCCAGCAAAAACAGCCCTGATGCATAAAAGTGTCGTATGTAAGGCGCCGTTGATATTTAACAAAATTCCCAAATATATTAAGATCTTGGACATGAATGAATTTAAGACGAAATTTAAAACATTATTAGCTGAAAATTGTTATTATAGACTAGAGGATTTCTTGAATGACAACACTTTATAACCATAATGATATAATGTATCATTGATGATTTTTTGTATGATTGATGGATTATTGATTGCAGTAAATATATTTATGTTGAATATTGAATGTTTTAGATTAAATAAATTAATGTAGACGGTTAATAGTTGATAATGTATACCTATAACCATGATATTCGAGTCCTTTCGTTGTAATTGTTTTTTCTTCTTTTTTTGATTTTTTAAAATGTTTTTAAACGATTTTATGTTACATGTAGAAAAATGCTATTGTTAAATTAATTTTATATTTGTACACCGGTAACGGTCAAACATGTCGATCAGGCAATATTACTTAACATCTTTAGTGTACACATGTTTATGCAAATAAAATATCTTGTATCTTGTATCTTGTATCTAAATTGTACAGTTACATTTACTTCATGTAAGAGGTTCGCAGTTGAAATATGTAGATTGTTGCGAGAAATAATTAACTTTAGTAAAAAGTATTACTGACTACTAATACTAATGCTACTAATGCGCCTCCGTAGTGATGATTTGTAATAAACTATTCTTCATTCCTTAATTTTCACTTTAGGTGTAGGACTAAATAGGAATTCGGTTCTTAAATGACTGAGTTCTGACATGTACTCGTATAAGAAACAGTAACTGGATGACCGAGCTTAACTCGTTTTTTTTTTAATTTTCTAAAAATGAAACCTAGCTAGATCGATTAATCGCTCCCGAAAGCCCCTGCATACTAAATTGTATGAAAGTCGTTGGAGCCGTTTCAGAGATTCAGAATATATATATATATATATATACACATATACAAGAATTGCTCGTTTAAAGGTATTAACTAAAAATACATACAGCCAAATTAATTGAGAGCCTCCCTTTTGAAGTCGTTGCAATCTTCAGATTGCATTTAGAAGAGACTTTAGTCCGCGTGTATGTCGGTTACGAGTATCGCGGTAAAAAGTAACCTCAGTATCTCCATGCTAAATTAAAATCGGTTCAACGATGTAGCCGTGAAAGTGTAAAAGACAGACACAGACAGAGTAACACTACATACATAACGGCATCAACATTATTAGTAGGGATTACAATAATGCAACAAGTCGTGAAACAATACCGTGGTCGCCATCTTGCTCGTCCAGAGTGTTAACACAGTAAACTGGTATAAAGCAGTTCTTTCTTTGCTTTTCAGCGAATGAGTGAGCTTATCTTTAGGCCCGAAGGACGACACTGCACTTGTGTCTCTTGAAAGAAGAAAAAATAAGTAAATGAATTCAAATTAAAAAAACCCCGACACACATCTTGGATTTGAAATTTGTCATAGTGTATAGAATTCTATTAGTCAAGCCCTTTCATTCGATACCCATATTGAGGCAGTTGTGAAAAAATATGCAATCCGAAATTTTACCGACCGATTTTCATTAAACATAGCTAAGAACACTTCCGACTAATTTACCTTTCAAACAAAAATCAAAATCGGTTCATCCGTTTACGATGACAACTACGATGCCACAGACAGACACACAGACACGTCAAACTTATTACACCCCGTCGTTTTTGCGTCGGGGGTTAATAAAAATCAAGCAGGCCTGTACATCACAAGTACCTACGTCCCGGAGGTACTACCTGTGTATTCAACGCATATATGTATGTCAGACGGTAGGAAACCAACAAGCCACATTGTTATCTAACCTTGTATAAGAATTAATGACTCAATTAAACAATCCTACCTAATATTATATGCAACTGTGAGTTTGTTTCTTACACACGGCCGTTTGATCCCAAACTAGGCAAAGACTGTTGATATACATACCTATATACTACATACTCCCTAAGTATACTATTATAGATAAATTACATACAGTTTTTTTGTATTGGTTGGGAATCGAATCAACGATTTTCGTGAAATGGTCAAACATTGGTAGAAATACAGAAAAATACAACGACATAATAAAACCTACCTTTCATTAGGAAACTTTCTACTAGGTATCTATACTCTGCTTGACAGATACGTTCATTGTTTGATAAAATTTAAATTAATGCGAGTAATGTCAAGGAAAGTTGTTTTATGATTTAATTTTTTACACAGGTTTTTGGTTAGTTCGAGTCCGACATAATCATCCACTGGTGAAAAAAAGGGTATACACAAAAGTACACCTAAATTATTTACTATCATATTTACTGTTCCCGAGGGTAGGAAAATAACGCGACGCGGACGCGAAACACTAGATAGGATATAAATAATGATTCATGTTTCTATTCCATTACAATCATTATTCTTAGAAACCATTATTCTCTAAATTTATTAATAAACTAATTAACATTAATTAATCACAAAACGTGTGTGCGCGTGTGCCAAAAACCGAGTGAGTAATTCACTAGACAAGTAGAAGATAATTAGGAAATACGAAGGTTAAGAAGGTTATCGGAAAATTTAAAAACAAGAAATGTAATTAAAGATAAAAATGTTAATTCTACCTTAAAATAAAAATAAAAACTTATATAACAAAACTGATTTTGAATGATTCATTTTCAAGTATAAATAGGTATACAATAATTGTTAAATCTGGCTTGTCTAGCTTAGTATGTAAATTTTTACGAGAAGTAAATTTTTTTATGATGTAAGGGGCACTTAAACCGAATCCTAATGTGTACAATAAAGAATAAATTCCATTAAATAAATAAAAAAATATATGATTAATTACCTAGATATTAAAAGATCATTTAATACAAAAATGCTACTATCATATAAATGAATATCTAAACAACAAATTTGAATAATTAACATAACATATAATTAGAAAATAAGTTTAATAATTTATATTAATGATATATTATAAAAACCAATTAATATATAATAATAATAACAAATAAAAGATTTCCTTCATTTAATTAATACGTGAGCAATAAAATAAATACCTACTTAGCTCTATTAACTAAAATACATTTCAATATGATTAATGGATTAAAAAAGGTTTGCATTTCTCTCCTAATTTAGCCATGGCCGATAGGGTCCATAATTATTTCTTTCTACATTTATAAGACCTGCAATGTTTATGGAGTGCAATAAACGAATTGAATTGAATAAAATAGGTCAGCTGATGGTAAGTTACTAGTAATAAGATAGAATGTTGATAATTTATTTAGTGGTATAGGTCGCCAATGGACACCTGTCTGTAACTCAAGAATGACAAGTGCTTTGCTGCCTTTGAGTGCCCAAGAATTAGAAGTGGGGAGAGGACTTGGGCCTTCAGCAACCTTAGTTACTGGAAAAAAAAAACTGTTGAATATTGACATTCAACTGATTTTTTTTAAGGGCTTGTTGGTGTAGTGGATAGTGACCTTGACTGCTAAGCCGGAAGTCGTGGGTTCAATTCCCACCCAGGCCAAATATTTGTGTGATGAGCACGATCGTTTGTTCTGTATCTGGGTCTAATTTATGTGTATGTATGTGTTTAAAAAAATTATAAGTATGTTTAGCAGCAGTTTGGTTATCATAGTACAGGCTCTGCCTAGTTTGGGATCAGACTGCCAGGTGTGAGATGTGTGAGGTTTTATTATATCAATGAAAAAAGGAAACTTGTTTTTTAAAAGCACCATGGCTATCACGATGATTAACGATGATAAATATCGATTTCTTGGCAACTTAATCGCCTACTAACTTAATGCATTTTGTCTGTAAATTAAAAATCCTAATGACTTCATTTCCTAATTAGAAAATGCGTTATTTAGTGGAACCAGTTTTATCGTGAATCTATAGCTATATATTTACATAGAAATTATGTCAAGATACTCATATATTTATTAGCACTTCACGCTGCCGTCCGGAATATAATTGCAGATAGTTCCACTTTTAGCATATTGTACTTATTTGTTACACGATCACGTCAACAATTACAAATAACAGTATTATTTCTATACTCACTCCCATGTTGGCAAAATAGTGCCTATTTGTTTAGAAGTATATAAAAGAAAGAGTACCAACATTTTTGTCCATGCGGCACAATTTAATGTTTGGTACCGAAATATAGAATTATGAAGACCACTTGTGTCAACAATTTATTTTATCGTGCATTTGTTCAGTCTTTAGGTAGAATAGCATTACTTTCTTGCACGGTTGCTTTCTTGTTTGCGTCAATAGTCGCAAGTGCCGTGTCGCACATGCGTTGCCATGACAACATGATACCAACAAGTTACTGTGACATACTATAGAGAAAAGAATATTGTATTAATGAAACAATATTTACTGTTGTTTGCTAAATATGGATTTAAAACTAATAGATAAGCTGCGCTTACTAAAAATGGATACAGAACTACGACCTCAAATAAAAATGAAGCCCATTAGCAGGTATTATTTTATTACTGGAACTAATCCTGGCGAACAGTTCTACGTTTTTGCTTCAACTGCTGCGTGGCTTATAAGAAAAACTGGCAAAGACTTCGAGCAACCTAATGAAGAGGATGATCCGAACAGCATAATTGCAACTATACTTGACGTTCTGAGAGAAAAAGAGATCACAGTTGACTTCTCGTCACACAAACTTAAACAAGGCTACGGCGAACAGGTTTGCTATATTCTCAATGTACTAGCAGACGAAGCTTTAAAGAAAATTGATTTTGAATGGCAGAAGCCAATTGTAGATATTCCCGACCCTGAAGAATCTCCAGACGATGTTGACCAAGTTGAGGATGAAACAGAAATTTTCTTAGATAAAGTAGAAGAAGAAATGGCAATATATTCTGGAGAATCAGATGAAGACTTTAATAATGAGGAACCAGAACCAACTGTAGTTAAAAAAGTTCACGATTGGGAGGCGTGGAAGTTGGAATTGGAAAGAGTAGCACCTGCATTGAGACTAAAGATATCTGCAGATGGCCGCGATTGGCGAGCAAGACATTCTCAAATGCGGACATACAGAGACGAGTTATTCGATAGATTTAAATCTACTGGTAGTCAATTGAATAAATTGCATGGAAATATAAATTCTGTTATGGACAAGATTACTGCAAGGGAAAATATACTTAACGAGCAGTTTGATCCTCTGATAAAAGAGTATATATCCTTACTAGACGAGTTGAATAAGGTGACTAATGAATACAAGGAAGTGAGTGTTGGACTGACAGAAAGGCAAGAAATGTTGAATGAATTGACTAATAAAGTAGAAAATATAAAGCAGAGAACAGAGTCGAAAGGTTCCTCGATGAATGATAATTCTCCATTGGTGACTGCTAAGAAAGCGGTTGCGACTCTGAAGAAAGATATTCAGGATATGGATTTCCAGATTATAATTTTGCTGTGGTTGTTGACGTCGAAAGAGAATCCTAATAGTAATAATCTATTTGCTAATGAATCTAAAATGGTTGAAATTGAGAGCTATTAAAGTAAATAATTATGACTTTTTATTGTTTTATTGGTCAGAATACTTTAGTTTGTTAACCAACTTCAAAAAGGAGGAGGTTAACAATTCTAATGTTTATACTCGTATATTGTTCTATATGTATGTTCGGGCATAACTCCGTCATATATAGACGCATTCTCAAAACTCTTTTTCATTTTTTTTTTGTTCGAAAGAGGTTTATTACGAAATGGTCCCATATAAATTTCATATATATCTGATGATTAGTTTCGGAGACAGACAACGGAACTCTTCAAAAAATGACAGCAAATCACCCACGATTGTTGCTATGTTTTTAGTGCTCTTGTTAGTATTGTTTGAAGTCGAATCAAATTTTTTTAAGAAGGATTTTCTTGTCATTTATCTCTACTGCCCAGGGAATGTGAAACTGGAGTTAAATGTGATCACGACAACTTGAAAGAGCAATATAAAATTTCCTTTTTTATTTAAGATTTTTCTACCCTTGTCTGCCTTTAAAATCTCCTTTCTATTTTGAAATTGGATAGACAGAGTGAGAAATACCGGAGTGATACCACGGCCCCACAGAAAACTGGTGTTAACCAATTTTCTCCTTGCTTTAGGTTTAGGTTACCGAAGCCCGAACCCCCTTCTCCCTGATTCTGGGGGAGAGGGGGCACAGATACTTGGGACTCTTAACTTGCAGGTGTCCATGGGCAGCGATCCTTTACCATCAGGGACCTGTCTGTTCGTTTGTTCTCCTACACCAAATTTCTTTTTATTAGTAGGTACTGTTCACTTTAAATTTATGCAATCCTGGGTAGACTATATGATTTACTGACATATAGTGCATTAGCTATAACTAGGAAATAACATATAAATAAAACCCAAAATCTTTGCATATTATGTATTGTTGTAATTAAAAATTAGATAAAAATATATAAACTTAAAACACATCGATTTGTAGTCTATGATTACCTTAAGATGATACAATGTATAATCAATTTAACATTATTTATTGAAATTAAAAATAATAATATGTCTTTGGTGGTAAAAATATAACAGTTAACTTACATAATTCTTACATAAGGCAATTTTTATACTTAGTAATAGTGCTGATTTGACCTACAGAATTAAGAGGTGTAATTACTATTTCTGCTATGTATACTGTATTATTTCTGGCAACTATGCAAGGGAGTAAAGCGTGAGCTTCAAAGAGCGACAAAATGCATGCCGCGCTGTTGTCACTGTAAAAAAATCTAGTTACAACTTGTCCGTCAAGATAATATGGTTGCACGAAATAGTGCTCAGAACATGTCATCGCTTTCCTTCAATGCTAAAATGCGTTGTGGTCGTATAATATGATACCTACGACACGAATTGCACGATGTATAATGTTTTACAGTGACCACAGCGCATTGTGAGCTATTTCTTTGCTCAATGAGCATTTGAGCGTAACATGGACAAGAGAAAAAAATTGACATGGTAATTTATCTGGGCAAGTTCAAAAAGTACGAAAAATCTATCCACCTGTTTTTTGTTTAGATTGCCCTTATTATAAATAAAAACATTCCTAAACCACTGTCTTCGTAAGGCCTAAGTCAACAGATGTACTAAAAACATTGTACTTAATCTAATTAAATATTTGAGATTTAATAGCAAATAATAAAAATTAAAAAATAAATATTCATATCAGCAAAATCTAGGAATTGTAAAGTAAATGTTACATTTATATCTGGAAAAAGATAAATTACTTAATAAAAGTACTTAATATTAATAAATGTACAGGAATGGCCAAAAATATATAGAAAAGAACCAGTGATTCTTACAGTGACATCTCATCTACCATTTGATGGTCAACGGACCCAAATCAAATAGCGGTGAAACGGGACGGAAGTGTGTAACAGAAAGGCGGGGACTTTTTGTTACACATTTCCGTCCCTTTTGACGTAATGACTCTTACAGATTGCAGAGGAAGGACTATTATTTTTAAATAAATATTTACAATTTCTTTCGCAATTTGTGCCTTAAACATTTATGAAAAAGTCATACTTATTCGCAATTTCGCTGTCTATCTATTAATACATTAACGCGAATAAGCACAGATCGTGTTAAAACACTTATTATTAACCTAGTACAATAATAAAAAAAAAACATTCTATAAAAATATAAAATAACGATTTTCTTTTCACTGGGAGATATTTATTTAATATTATCACCATTCTGTTTTCTTTGGTTATAATAGTAAAAGACAATAATTATGTGATCCTTATTACATAAGGACGTAGCCACATTTGACATTGTGGTGTAAAAACATATGTGTTTATAACCCGGCAATCTCGTACGCGACCGTCCCGTGGGGTGACAGACAGTGGCGGGGGCGAGGCAGCGCGTCATTCTAGCACACGGCTACACACGATTCCCTTCCCCGCTACACCACCCGCTACCCGCTGACATCTTGAGTACCTCGTCCCAGCCACCGTCTGTCACTATACTATAGTTTACAGCGCTTATCACTTTCTTTTGATGTGATAGGTAATGTTTTGGGTCATCATCATCAGCCTATCGCAGTCCACTGCTGGACATAGGCCTCTCCTTTAAAAGGAGGTTTTGGCCTACTATACCACGCAGACCAGACGGGTTGGTGTTGTGGTAAGAAAGTATTCACTGTCACCGCCCTTTCAGTAGTCACAAGTTATCCAGCTTTGTAGTAGAGGTACGCTCTTTGATTGAAGGTATAAAAGTCGTATCGGTCCCAAACGGTCCCCTTAATAAACGTACCTTACGATTACATACGTATTGCTATTTCCATTACTATAGAATGTGCGGATAAAATTAAGAAACTATAATGTTTTTCATTAAATTACTTTATAACGTTAGTTCAAATTAAATTAACATTTATCTTGGTTTTTACTTCAATTTATTTTATTGTGTGTTGTTGTGTAAATGAACTAATGTTTACTAATAACGGACGACAGTGGAAAACAGTAAATATAGAGGAAATACTAATTAACTTGCTTCGTGAATACTTATGTGTTTACTATTCTAATAAACTGATATCGAAAAAAAAAACACTTTAAAGCTTTTTATTATGCTGTGTTTCTATTACAAAATAAAAACTAATTTCATGTAATAAAAAATAATATTGTTAGTTTTTTTATAAGACAATATTTTTACAGTATACGGCTTGAGATTAAACCTGTTAGATCAGGGATTCCCAAAGTGGTCGATATCGACATAAACGAAAACTGATTTTTGGGGTAGGCGTGGTCTAAAAATCAACCCCTATTAATTAACACGAGTTCTTATTTGAAACTTTCAAGATACTGTATAAGTTTGTGTATGTGTGTATAAATGTTTTATAACGTTTTGTAATTAACGTTATTTGTATTAAAATTATATTATTTTTTAAATTTAGATAAGAAAATTATTTCAAGTTTACTCACGTTACCAATCGCAAAGTTTTTAAATCGGAAAATATTTTGTATTAATAGGAAAAAACTAGAGATAGGGTTTTTAAACTAATTTGGCTATCAGGGTTTATGGGGCTTATGGGGTTTCAGCTGTATCAGGTTATTTTGGAAAAGGGGTCTCTTGCCTAAAATCGTTTGGGAATCCATCCGTACAAGGAATATCTAATTTCTACCATTGCCTTGCCCTTTTATATATATATAATTCCTTTCCTTTAATTTACTTATTTTTCTCACCAAATCCCTAAAGACCCTGGTTGACAGAATTGACCCAAAATGTAGGAGTTTAATATGCTTCTGCCTACCCCTTCAGGTATATAAATATGAGTGTACGTACGCACGGCAAACGAAATATCAGGTCAGGTTTAGGTGTAAGTGAATTAAGTGTGAGGAAGTAACTCGTTTCCCCACTTATACATTTGCAAATTGTTATTGTTTGAAAACCATTCTGTGTTTCAATTTTTTTAGTATTTATAGTTCATCGAAGTCACTGGTACTTCGTACTACTCACTAGGTACTTCGTCTGCCGTGTGTACATATAAATTAAATGGCTTAAATGTAAAAAAATATTTAAAATAACATAATTTTAAAATTAAAAATACACATTATGCACATGTGTTTCAATTACTTCGTGTTTTTTAATTTATTTATAAGTTTCAAATAATTTAAACGAGTATCAATACTTAGTAATAACAGTATTACCTAATACGAATATTTTAAAAGCTAAATAATATATAGCGAAAGGAACATGACATTAGTGATTATATTTTTAGTAAATAACTAGAGTCTGCCCAAGCTAGTATTTACTTATATGTTATAAAATGTGTTCTCAATGCCTTACTCTATTTACAACCTTTCATAGCTTATAGATATGTACTACAATGTGCCGAGTATTTGGTCACAATTTCAAAATACTTTTAAAGAGAAGCAAATGTCCATTTGGTATATTTTGTCATACACAAAAATCAGGGGTTATTTTTGTGACTTCTTAACAGATTTTTTATTGCATGGGTTAAAAATGCAAAACCAACTGTTTACCGACCCACAGGTGTCAAAATAGTTATATAATATTAGACAGTGTTCCTTTTTGAAGTAAATTAAAATTATATTACAAAACCTTTTCAATTACTAATATGTGCAGTTTTTGTAATTAATTCGAATACAAACACAAAATAATATAAATGTTAAGAAAATAAAGACATTACATAATCTATGTATTAATACGTAAAGAAAAATATTTTTATCCCTCTTTAAACAAATTCAAGAGGGCATACCACTAATGCCAAACAATATGTACTATAAAGTTAAAAATTACCTAAAAATAGCTCCATGAAATTATGGGGGTTTATTATATACTACCATATACCCGCGGCTCCGCCCGTCGGTTATAACGGTAAAAAGTAACCTACGTTACTCGCTCGTTTCCATGGGTGATAGAATTTTAAAAATCGATTTAGTCGTTTAGGCGTGAAAGCGTACCAAACAACTTTCACATTTATAATATAAGCATGGATTTGACCTGTCATTTCATATAATAGTCTATACAATTACAGGTCAATTTATACTGCTCAATGAAATGGACATTCTAAATGGTCAAAATTCAACTGCCAGGCGATTTCTAGTACATCGTCAGTCTGTGGACAGCCAACGGCCCGATTACTTTGCATGCCTGAAGGCACTACCATATTTGGTAAAAACCATTAAAAACATTGAACTGAATATTCTTTACGAATTACTACTAAGGGAACATACCCATACTGGGCGACCCATTTCTTTACTTACTTTTCTCCCTTCTACCCCTCGCGTACCACATGAGTTTATACCAAGACGCTCTCCCTCTAGTTTTCACGTGGGAATTCATTAATATGGTTTTAAATAATTTTTAACGTCATATGTGTGACAATGGTACTAATTCTGTTGTTCGAAAACTCTCTAAACTAAACTAAAAATCACTAAAATTTAGTTTTGAACCGTCAAGTACTACGTTTTCAAAACCAGAAACGTAATTTCATAGGACTTATTTTTTTTTAGTGATTTTTAGTTTAGTTAGAGAGTTTTAGAACAACCGAATTAGTACCATTGTTGCCACTTGTGAGCTGTAAAAGCGCTAAACACTGCGCAGCATCTTTGCATATAGCTGCTAAAAATCACGAATTTCAGTATATCGATATTCAGCATATTACGTGATGAAAACCTAAGGCCTCCCCTCGCCCCTGTGACCAAACCACCCCCTTTGAACAGATAGTGTGGGTACGTTTCCTAATGTTAACATACTATATTGCAGAAATCCAATTGTATCATTTAATTTTACCTTCTAAAAGAAACCTTTATTTAACTTATAACGACATATATCACCAGACTGCTGATACACTTACTTATATATTTATATAATACGTATATAAATAGACAAATTACACATATATATATAGAACAAGCGAATGTGCTTATTATTCAATAACATTTCTCTGCCTGAAACACAGGCAAGCACAGGCCGTTTGCAAAAGAATTTTTAATATTTTGTTTTTACCCCTTTATATTCAATCTTTACACATTTATGTTAGCTTTAGTAACAAACTTTATATAAGAATCTAATGACAATAAGATGAAAATCGTATACAAAATGTAACCAAGACCTTATTCTGATTCTGCAAATAAATTTTATTTTTTTAATATCTCTGACGACCAGAGTTTAACGGTCAGGTTAACAAACTGCTAGACCAACAGGCGAGTGTACACCGTCGTGAAACATAAAGAGATTATTATAAAACTATTATTTGTTATCATTCAAACAACTGTGTAGTTCTAAAGTGCCTACATCATGCTTATTGATAATCAATAATATGTATTATAAAGTGGTGGTATGGCGGAAATATTGTCTATATTTTTAATCAAGTGATTATGGTTTTGAAACACACTCAAAGTTGAAATTAATTATTTCAACATTATTTCAATTTTGTTTTATTCCGCCTTCAATGCTGTTACTGGCAACACCGTTAGCCATGGCGCCAATAGCTGTTAATATGTGATACCGATTTTCCCCCTCGATTTGGCTCTTTGTGTTGTGTTTATGTTTTCACATAAACATTGAGTTATGAATATTTATTATTTACCTTAATTCAAAAACCCAAACCATTATAAACACTTAGTACACTACACAAGACTTCAACTTCAACTGGTGGGGTTAATACGAACACTAGGAGTGCGTGTCACACGTTAAAGGTCTAGTTTAAAAAATTAAATAACCCTAACATCCCTACGTCATAAAATTACATACAAAATTATATGAGCACAAGTCTCGGTTTAAAAAAATGAAAGCAGCGCCAAAACATTTCGCTTAAAAACGTATGAGAAATTTATTTTATTATGTTCAAGCTAAATTGTACGTAACTGCATAGCTCCGAAGGTCGCTATTTGTGTAAATGGTTATAATTGTGTACGTAGGAAATAATACTATTATTATTGTAACAGGAAAATAGTAAATAAATACAATAAAATTGGAATCCGAATAATTAATTAATTACAAAACAACAGTTTCATTACATTGATATGTAGGCTGTCTCACAGCCATCAGCTAAAGCGCTTCACATAGAGCGTAGGTATTAAAATATTATTTTTTGAATTTGTGGGATCACATATTCTAAAAAATCACTTTAGTGGCTGAGTTAGTACAATTGATTTGGGGTCATATTTCAATTATAACTTTCACACTAATAAGACACGATCCCTTTATCTTCCATCTTGATTTTTAATCAAATTACTAGCCAGCAATTTTAAAACTATCAGAAGCTTACAAGTTTTTCTTATATTAACAATTCCTAACTTACAGTACCGTATATCGCCGACTGTCAATATAAGTCGTTATGTCACGCTTCTTCGAGTGCATGTTCAAAAATATATTTAATTAATGTTTACCTCGTTGTCGTTGGCCTGGTTGAGTATAAGGCTTTTGGCTTGACCTAAATAAATTCCATCAGACTTCGGTGAGTCATCGAAAGTAACGTTGTATTTTCTCTTCAAATCGTCCATGAATTCTTGTTTCAAGAGTGCGAGGCAGCTGGAATATGGTTATGTTCATATTATTTAATATATATTTACTTTAAATTGTTGTTAGTAATTTTCATCAATCATCATTGTCTACAGCATATAACAGTCCACTGCTGGATATAGGACTCTCCTTATGAAGGAGGTTTTGGCCTATTTATACTATGTTATTGTATAGGGTATGGGCTGAGCATCGGGATGCCTGCGAATTGTTACGCAAGGGCGTAGAAGCTGCTCTTCCCACCGGAGACGTTGCAGTCTCGAAATAGTAGTAGGGGAGTAGTACACCTCCACCTCCCACTCCTCTCCCTCCCTTCAATTCGACGGACGTCAGTTTTACGTTTCGTTCCACAAGCCGGCAAAAGCCGGTAAACACTACACATTTTAATTTTAATAGCTCGTAATGAAAATAATGCTGTAATTTACTATATTTAAACTGTTAAATACATGTGTGCATGAAAACTATTCAAATGTGTATAAAATATTATTATTTATGTAAATTTTTATAAAATAAAATGTTACAGAGCGTATGACAAGTTAAACGTAAGTAAAACGAGACGTTCAATGGCGAGAATTCTATATAATCTGTGGTAGGGATTGACATAAATATTGCAAAAATAATTGATTTCAATTATTTTTTTCTTACGTGTGTTATAATAACCTTTCTATAAAAAAAATATCAACCCCCAACTCGAAGGACGTCAATGGAAAGTCGTACCAGGGTTTGTTTTAAGCTTACCTTCTTTTTGCAGGGTTGTATTCCTGCTTAGTGTGCTCCCTTAATCGGCTCTTACGACATCCATGGCATGAATAAGGGTGGTGACATTAATGACACTTATATAGTGTCATTAATGTTGTTGTAAAGGGGAATAGTGCAAATTGACGTGGGGCGTGTGAAGCACTATGTAGACAGTGAGTGCTTACATGCGATAGTGGGGGTCGGCGCGGAAGGCGGTGATGTCGTGGGAGGGCGCGTGGGGCGTGTGCAGGACGAAGGCTCCCGGCAGCACCACGGCGCGGTACCCCTGAGCTCGTAGCTCCACGCTGTGGGACACCTGCGGTAATGGAATACAACATGTACTTGTTTACGACTTATTCTTGTGGTCACCTTCCATTGACTTTAATTGTCCACTACTGGACACAAGCGTCTCCTTAAAAAGTAGCTTTTGGTACACTATGCTGGCCAGACGGGTTTGTGTCAAGTTTTCCTTGTACCTAATTTTAATTTGTACCTTTAGTCGGCTCTTATCACACCTATGCGATAAATAGCGGTGGTGACACTTCCTAATCTTAATCGGTTACCACACATGAAGCTGAAGCTAGCCGACGGTCATAGCCTACGTAGTATATGACACGCCCCTTACATTGAAAAACTTTTTAATCAATAAAGACAGCAAACAGCTGATTTTTATCGAAATTCAGTATTTTTTGTTAGTTACGTACGTTTACTCATTAAATGTTGTTAATTCTAAAAAGTTAAGACAAATTTACCATGGAATTATGGTTAATTTCGTTGCGTTTATTCATTTAACAGGATTATTTGTTTTTTTTTTAAATCTTAATGGGCCCTAGTTTATTGTATAGTAATTTGCAGTAGGAAAATGACCGTTTGCTCTCTTTGTTGATGCCATGTTGGGCGTGCCATATACTACGTAGGCTATGTACATCGGCTAGCTTCAGTTTCATTCACCACACGTCTCGTCTCGTGGCAACTTTTCTTTTTTTTTTATATGCTATTCAAAAATGTTAGAGAGGCAAACACTTCAATAGTTTGACATGATTTTAGGGATTTGTTTTCTATAATATACACTATAATTACAGGTTCATACACTAGAAAAAAATATTGTTTTAGAAAAAGCGATTTTAGTAAAATGTTTCTCACCTTGTTCCAACCGAAGCCAGAAAATCGCGTATCATATTTTGGTATCGACCTGTGTACTACTAAGTAGGGTTCATAGTCAGACTGCCACTCGACCTGCAATAATATCAACAAACATACTTGAATATGTGTTTATTTCTTAAAATACAATAGCGGTGATAGTCACTTATCATCAGGTGAGTTGTCTGCTCGTTTGGTCACGTACACTAAGTAGTAGGGATGAACCAAAATCACAATCACTTGTGATAAAACATATAATTTATAACTAATATAATCGCACCTGCGACTAATTTATGGAACCAATGTGACTTATTATTATTTTACATTTATCTGAATTTGAAAAAAAGGTCGTAATCTATGATCGGTTTTGATAGCATTATCTTTGTCTATGATCAAATCACAATCGCAGGTGAAATCACTGTGACTAAAACCAATCATTTGTTAATATGATTATGATTGAAACGTAGCAATAATTGGCACGTGTAGCGAGCGGTGACCTCGTATGGCGCGGTGGCGTCGGCCCAGCGCGCGTAGTCGGTGGCGCGGTGTCCGCGCGGCCACTCGCGCGCGCGGAACGGCGCCACGTCGGACGCGAGGCGCGCCAGCAGCGCCGCCTTGCTGCGAGGCGGGGACGTGCGGTAGCGCTGGCTCTCGAACGCCGCCACTACTAGGCACTGGGAAACATTTTTACATTTCTATTTAGAATCCCTATAATATGTACGATGAAAACCGTTTTTTTTTTTAACTGAAAACTTCTTTAGGCGCGTTGAGCATTTTTGAACAACACACACCGACACCTCTGTATATTATTTTGGCCCCGTTAACACGAGTCGAGTTTGGGTTGAAATACATAGGTAATATAACTATATATATTATAAACATATATTACATATACGTAAAACATAGATATCATTTTAGAACTTTTTAAATAAAAAAAAACATTTTTTTTTTCATGTTTTCACTTCTAAGATAAAAAAAACGGTGGCACTGTTTTTTTATCGTAGCCATTGTTTTGTCGTATTCGGTGTTAAGAAATTCTTTAGTTTCTTTTCACCGAATAAGTGAGGTTACCGACGTTCAAACCCCACCTGATCCCAGGGGGAAAAGTCAAAGACCGGGAACTTACTTGTGACTCTTCATAGGTCTTCATATTTACTGTTGTGACAGAACGAATGTCTTTAAAAAAATATAAAATTATTTACGGACCCATTTTTTTCTTTGTCCATGTCCATCAACATGATAAGAACCACTAGGTATTTCAAGAATCAAAGGAGTTTAGGCTATTACGTTTTCCCCGTCTTCTTGCGAGGAGACGTACGCTTCACTCCAGGAAGATTTCAAATTTCGTCGTCTAGTACACAAATCCCTACACCAAGGTCATCAAAATAAAATGACAGTGCCTGTGAAGATCATCAACGGATAACAAGATGATGAGATGCTGCTGGCAGTGATGAAAAAGAAGTATTTGACGTTTACTTTTTGCCGGACATATACAATTGGTGTCGGTAACCATGCGCATCAGTAATTACTTACCATCGGGTAAACCGCCTATTTCTAAATATGATAGAAGCATGAAAAAGCCGTCAAGGTACGGCAAAAAAGAATATTAGACTTATAAAAGGAAGTACTGAGCGACACCCACTGTGCACTTTAGGTATGAAGCTACAGGAAACATGATTGCCGCCATGGTACGAAGCGAGAGTGCGTGGAACTCCGCCGTCTCCTTCTGCGAGTAAGTTATGATTGCGAAGGAGATGGTGGAGCGCGACAAGGAGAAGTTTAGACCGTACTCAGGCGCCGGAGGTCGCAGAACGACCTCCGTTCTCCATAAGCGCAGCCCATCTGTCACCTTAGCAGAAGCCGGGCCGGCGTGGGTGGTGGTCATCTATAAACCGTAGATGGCTCGAGGTACGTCGGGGTACCAGGGCTTTCCTTTCTAGAGTATACCTGGTTCCCCGGCTACTGGTACCTGGAGACGACGTGCGGTTTTTGGTCGGTTCGAGTCCGACATAACCACCACACTGGTGGGTGGTATCCGAGGGGAGATCCGCACAGGAAAACAAAAAGTTATGAAGCTACAAGTACTCGACTTGTGTAAAATACAGTGGCTGACAAACACACAACTGAAACTCACCCCTGCACCGTATCGCGTCCGTTGACTAATATCTTGACTAAAGAGTTACTTATTCTTACAATTAACAGTAATAGTTTTTAATAAAATTACCTTTTTCTGTGGGTATGGATTGACCAGTTGTATGGCGTTTCGCAGATGTTCGTAGAGTCCCGGCATGGGTACAAAATCTACGTCCATTAGAAAAACGTAAGGAGTATTTACATTCTCTAGAGCAACGTTTCGGAGATAATTCACTGGGTAATGAACCTAAAATTAAAAATAAAATCTCTTAATTAGAAAAAAGATGAAAATATTCAGCCTCCTCAATTTTACTTTTACTTACGGGCCATTGTAGGCCACGAAAGATCTTTAAACAAATGTTCATCATTGTTCTGAGGGAGAACAATGATGAATAAAAACTGAGGATTAAAAAAAGCACTAACATTGACCCGATTACGCCGTTCTTCGGTAAATGCCTTCGATCAACTAGATCAATAGCAACTAGATATCAGGTCGGCGCAAAAAATACGTCTCGATAAATAAGAGCGCACTTGAGACGTGAGCTCTTATTTTGTTTGGTTCGCTTAAAACACAGCCAATGTAAACACGTCTCACAATGCCGCAGTGTGTATCCAAAAGTTGCAAAAATAATTCTCGAAAACGAAATTTAACGGCGGGGTAATTTTAGTATCTTACTTTCGGTAAGTACATGAAGAATAAGTTGTATTTTAAGCTTTAAACTAATAAATAATATCAAATTTTGAACAAAATTACCGATTTTAAACCAGCGCTACAAATGTTTGGCCAAGGCTCGAAAGCACACGCACAAACTTTTGTTTAACAGAACAGTAGATGCATAGAGTAGATTTATGGTGTAATAATTAAAAAAAAATCTTAACAAAACTTTAAAATTGGTTGGTTAAAATTAGTTAAAGCTACTTTTGTGTCTGTTTGTTGGACTCTCATTAGATATTTAGCTTTCCTTTTTTAGTTTACCTTTCCTAGCAATCCGTTTACGTGTGCAGAGTGGATCTCGATTGTCGTCAGAGAAAGAAGAGATGACTTTTATAAGCCAGCTAAGAATTCGGTTATATGCTCGGATCACTTTGATAAGTTAGATATATCCGAAAATAATAACCGACGTCAATTGGTCAAAACAGCAGTTCCTAAATTACATGTACATTCATTAGTGATTCACAATCGAAATGTAATTTTATATCTGTTTTTCTTGTCTGCTTAAATGTATTTGTGACGTGATAAATCATTGAGTTGTGGGAATTCATGTTTATCTATTATTAAAGTCTTTTAAAAAACACAGATTCAATCCCCGCGAACGACCCACAATTGGCAGCAACCAATACTAAACTCTTAGTATCTGACATTGAAGTGCAAGTGAGTCTTTTTTTTAGCAGTAGATAGATAGATAGAACTCTTTATTTGTAAACCATTTTACAAGAAGCATGATAGTTATATGAAAGTGTTAGATATACAATGTCTTCTACAATCTTCCAGGCAACCTTAGGATGGATCAAAATGTTCGGGAGAGATAGTAGTAGTTGATGGTGAAATGAGTTTTTCAGGTTAATTACTATCGAAAATAAAAGAGATAATAACTACATATATATAATAAATATATAATATAATAAATATACACATTCGCAAATATATATAAATACATATACATATTTATATTCATAGAAACAAATACTTATACATACCAGCAAATATACATACATAAGTACTTAGTAGCAGGTGTCATAAAAAGATGTGGAATTTAGAGATATTTTATTTAGTATATCTGTGCGGGTCCTGCTTTTGGTGTCAGGGCGGGTCGCTTAAAGCTTTAAATACCTAAATTTTTTTGCATTAGCTTGTTGGTTTGGATGAGTTTTATTCGCAAATTTATTCACTCGCGCGTAATTTTTAATTTAAGATATCTCCCAACATATTCATTTAAATTGTATGGTGTAAAGGGCTATTATAATGTGTATGAAATGCTTAAGATAACTAACGTATTTATTTTAATAACGATTAATACTGTATCCGTCTAAATGGCTTTTGTAAATACCACATTATATGTGATAAAGTAAATACACATACATATTACACAAAAACGTAACGTTATAAAATAATAAGTAATGTAAAGATACTAACAAACATACATAGATGTCCGAAACATAAAAAGTAAGCAACTAATATTTTACGTTAATATTATAAATTATTTTAGTGTTCATAGCGACTTCCACCGACCCTAGCTTCCAGCGACCATACCTTCTGTAGTAGAACTCGAAGAAGCAAAAATAAACAAAACAAAACAATGTAGCTCTCAAGGCAATAACGAGAAAAAGTACTTTATTTGTTGCTCAATTTTACACTAAATGTTATTTAAGTTATGTCTTTTCATTTAAAAGTGATAGGAGTAATTTATTCCTTTGCTCGTTTTTTGCAAGGAATGATCGTAAGTATTAGATAATATTTTGAAGATTTGTGACTTTATTACTGTGTACCATAGTTGTAATTAGGTTGAACTTAAAACTATTTTAAAACTTTTCCATCCGTTTTTTGGTAAACAAATGTAGCTGCATAACTAACGCGGACAGCATTTAGCTTTGACTTTGTACGTGACCCCTTATCTAGTTGCTATTGTTGATCGAAGGTAAATGCTGACAAGTTGTCAGCATCCAACGGCATGGGTAACCAGTAGCGTAACTAGAACGAACCCTGGACGCAAATACGCCCAAACCAGTGTAAAATACTTCTTAATCAACATATAAATTTATAAATATGTTCGTGTTCATCACACAGTATTTGTCCTGAGTGGGAATCGAACCCACAACCTCTGGCTAGCAGCAGTTAGGACCGCTAACCACTAGACCAACAGGCCCGTCTATACACCATATACGTCTGTACTTATTCATAATAGATACAGGACATATTAATTTTTAAAAGCTGTACTTACCGTATCATGTTTAAAAACAAGATGGTAACCAATATTTTTCCTGATACTTAGTGTGTCTGACCAGTCTCGGATAAAGCTCTCCAGTTTTGTTACTTCGCAGTCCGACAAATAGATGGCGACACTTAAGGGACCTGGAATAGACAATTTTGAGGATATCTAAAGTACCGGTGGTATGTATATTCATATTGGAATAGGAAATACCTTTAACTTCGTAAGTCCCTATGTTTTAAAAATAATGTTCTCTTGTTATTACCGAAACTATTATAACAATCTGTTTTTATTACATCAATTGATTCTGCCATCTCACAATAGTAATATCGAAAAATGGTAAGAAAATATCCTAGGTTGCTAAAGACTCAAAATATCAGGTCTGGTCTGATCAGTAGACTAATTGGTGCTTTTTATAGAACAGAAGGAGGAGGAAAGCAAAAAGCGGAATTTAGGAAATTACAGTCAGCGAGTAAATAATTAATGACGAAACAATGCAGTGCCTTTTTCTTGTCTGTTTATAATACATTGTTTTGTAGAAATATATATTTTTTTATTATAATGATAGGGGTAAAACGACGAAACTAGTTTAAAATGTAGGTTTAGAACATACAGTTCAAAAAAAGTTCAGTCTTACCATCCCAATATTTGACGAGTCTTTCCAGGAACTGCAGTCGATCCATAGAGAGCTGCAGCACGAGTGTGACGTCAAAGTCTCCAATGTCCACGTGATCGTAATCCATATAGTACAGATGTGTGCGTAGTTTGATACGCTGGGCCGCTCGAAAGCTTATGCAAAGATCTGAGTGGTTCATCTGGAAAAACAAACCTAGGCTATTATTGGCAATATTTTAATTGTCATAATTAGTTGATGGCCGAATCCTCAATGAATGTTTAATTGTAAGGCGATCTAAACTCTCGCATTGTTTCTGCAATGTAGTCAACTGTCATAAGTATTTGAGTGTTATTTGAGTAAGGTTTTAAAATATAATAATACATTAGTAATGCAAAGAGAAAATACAGTAAGAATTCTAGCCCTAACAAGAGCTAACAACGCACGGTTACCATGTACTATCAGAAAGTAGGTGTGTTACGTTCAAAGCTGTGTAAAAACATAGAGATGATGAGATCGATAAAAAAATATGTTAACGTAAGGTATAACGGTAAAAGTAGTTCTCTATTTAGCTATTTGATGTCATTGATTTTGATCCACAAATTGTTGTTCTGAGTCTAGGTGTTCTTTGTGTCCGTTTCATGAATGTTTATTAAGTCCCCTGCAACACAGGATACATTCCTAGTGGAGGAGATGCCTTAAAAAAATAAGTACACTATCATCACCAACCTTATACGTGACAGCTTCAATCTGAGAACATGTGTGTAACTTGTTTTTAAGTAGATTGCCATCAAAGTTCACATATGACTGATGGATCTTCTTAAAAAAATCAGAGTCCCGGACCCTTATATCGTACTTCATTGGTGAGTTCCAGTGGATTATCTACAAAATTACGTCCAAGTATTTAAACAAATTTTAAATGTAAATTAAACTCAACAAGCAGTTACTTTTTGCCTCTCCACTAACTTATTTAAATAAATATTTTATTTGCTATGTCTACTGTTTCTACAGTTGGAGAGTTATGCTCATTACAACGGCCACAGAACTACATCAATTCGGGAGCGCCTCGCCCGCAGGTTTTTCACGTGTGGACGGCTAGTGGCCCACTCGGTGACCGCGCAGCCTGCGATTGGTTGATCATCCGATGTGCACATCAGTTCCCTCGAACGTGTATCGTATTGTTTTCTGGTTAACAACGCGGCGATCAACCCCAGACCACGCATCGATATAGAGTGGACACGCAGTGGACATGGAGTCGGGTGTCTGATGGGTGTAATAAGCCATAACCTTTAAAGGGCGACAACACACTTGTGGCTCTAGAGTTGCAGGGGTCCATGGGCGACGGTAGTTACCATCAGGTGACCCGTACGCTCGTTTGCCCTAATACCATAATACAAAAAAAGGTTGAGTCTAAAACAACCTTCTAAAAAAATATCCAATTAATTATAATTTTATTGTACTGACCTTAACGTTATTTCTGTCTTCTCCATAACAATCCTTCGCAATCGTCTTCGTCGACATTTGTATATTATACTGACAACTCATGTTAAACACGAAGTTGGGATGACTCTTTATAATAGCATTGATGACATCCTGATCGGCCAGAGTGGTCTCTTTCAGGGTGTCAATGTTAGAGTTCACAGCATCACGCCACAGGCTGTTCCAGTCAGTGTTTCGGCGTAATTTTTTTAAGTCTAGCAACATTACACCCGTGTTAAATCCTCTGCCTAATGCAGGCCAGCGTTTGCCATTATAGTAGTACCAATTACTTTCGTTTTCTACTAAACCTATAAACTGCAAAAGAAAAAAGGTATTTAAATGACTTTTATTTGTTCTTTAACTAAAGATATATGAGAGTAGGTAAAAACTACATAATAATTAACTCTAAAAATGCCATAGTCTATGATTTTGAACATTTTTCCTTTACCCTCATTCATAGGCACACTTCAGCACATTCGGGCCGGCTTGCCCTTAGTTAGAACTACCTATTACACTACCTCATAGAAAACTGGTGCTAAACAATTCTTTCGTTGTCTTTCACTGAGTGACTGGCACTCCTGTATTAATCTCGTAGGTGTAGAGCCGACCAAGGCAGGAAGCTACGCTGGACAACATCACTGCAAAGTTAAGGAAAACTTGAAACAAATTCTATACCAACCTGTCTGATCAGACTGGTATAGTAGGCCAAACCCTCCTTTCAAAGGAGAGGCCTATGTCCAGCAGTGGACCATTAAAGGCTGTTGATGATGATGAGTTCCAGGTGCACAGTGGCAGTGGTAGTCACTTACCATCAAGTAATCGGTTTGCTCATTTGACCCCTATACAATAAAAAGAGCCATTTTATAAGACCACAGCTTAGTGTAGTCACTAATTGGAGATCATAGACCAAGTTAATATAAAGAATTTAAATAAAAAACCTATCTACCTTATCATCAGTCATATTCTTAAACATATTCCACAATTCCGCCACATCACACAGAAAAGTAAGATCAGAATCCAACACAATAACCTGGTTTAGGGAACTGGGTAGGATATCTGGATATAGCAGTTTTGCCAATCCAAACACTCCTGAATAATGGGCATTGGGAATCCATTGGACTTCAGATAGCTTGCTCTGTGCATTGTAGCATGTGTATTTCACTGAAAATCAGATACACACAATTAATAAGCATGAAAAAATATATTTAAACACATTTCAGGAGTATTGGTTCCTGAAATGTGTTTAAATATATTTTTTGTGCATTGTAGCATGTGTATTTCACTGAAAATCAGATACACACAATTAATAAGCATGAAAAAATATATTTAAACACATTTCAGGAACCAATACAATTTATCTTTACAATTAAACACGAAGTTCCCGTTTGCATTGTCAAAACAATAGGTTTTTTCATGCTCACACGGTTATTCGCACGAGACCTAATCCTAAAATCTTCTAAACGGCTGGACTTATTTTGATAACATTTTACTACCAGTACAAGTAGTGTGTGATTCATACCGTATATATGTCTGGCCTGTTGGTCTCTAGTGGTTAGTGATACAAATAGTGAGCCAGAATTTAAAAAGTTAGCAAGTAGCCAGAGATTATGAGTTAATTTCAGACCCGGGACGAAATAAAATGACGACCGGATGGTGTAGTGGTTTGGGTAACAGACTGCTATTCCAAAGGTCGCGGGTTCGATGCTCGCTCAAGTCAAACATTTGTGTGAATGAACATTTAATGTTTGGTTTGGTCTGGGTGTTTCTATGTATAATTTGTATGTATTTACAAAAAAAAGTATATGTGTATTTATATCAGTTGTCTAGTATTAATAGTACAAGCTCTGCTTAGTTTGGGACTAGATGGGATGTTTGCTACTCAATCATGCCGGAATGGTTAAACAGAAATAGATGAAATTTGGTGTAGAGATACTAGTAGATTATAACCTTGAATAACTAAGAAATCAATAATAATGTAAGCAAAGCTAAGAGGCAAAGCTAGTATCATATTGAAATAATATTGATAGGTACGCATTTCTCATAAAATAATAATAATATTTCAAACATCTAACACAACACCATTTAGTTTTTTCAAACTAAGCAGAGCTTATTATATGAAAGCTAGATTGACTGATCCAATACTTATATCCTTTTTTTTGGTAAATACATACATATTATTCATAGAAAACTCTGAAACAAATATTTGCAGAGCATACAAATATTTGGTCCGACCCGGGAATCGAACCAGAGACCTCAGAACATACGCTACCACTGCGCCACTAAGGCAGTCACTGTGTGGAGTCATGTAAGTACTAGTGCAAAACTAAATTATTTTTAAATCCAAGTACTATTCTTAAACATTATAAATATTACTAACCATCAGGTAAATCCCATGTATCGAATAGTACACTAATAGCATGTTGTGAAGTGCTGTCCACCACAAAATGAAAGTGCAGTGGGTTCTGACGGTGATGCAGCAAGGACTTCAGCATCGGTGTTATAAGACGAGTGCACTTGCCCATACATACTAATGCTATGTCCACTGTTTCACACAAGGTGCCCAATGCAGCAGGTCCCTGAAATAAGTTTTAAGATTATTATACTAGTGGTCTTAAACTAAAGGTACATATTGTAGTGGACTGAATTGTGAATCTAAACCATTCTTGAACACACATGAAAAATTTCATCGAAATCAGTCCAGCTGTTTAGGAGGAGTTCACTCACATACACATGCGCAGAAAATATATATTTATATATATATAAATACTAGCTGTGCTGGAGTACAACTATAAAAATAATTAATCAAGTACAGAAACTTTAGCAGCACTTACACAATAAGATTACAAATAAATAAAAACACAACTCTTAATTGATTTAAACATAGGTCATATCACATGTCAATTTTTGATTTTTAACATAATGTACTAGCTTTACTTAACTATTTATCTGACAAAGTAACTTAGTAATTAGGGAACTAGTTAAGTAAGTGTTTTTTACTCTTTTATTTGGTTCACAAGAGTTGTGTTTTTGTAAAAGGCTAGAGAGAAAGCAAATTCGTAAGATTTTGTTATCAAATTAAATTTGAATAAGTTTCTGAAAACCCTCTAAGTCAATTCTCACTCATTGTACCTGTTAATTGTAATAGTAATACTTTGGTTGAACTAATATCAGAAAGGAGGATGTTTGTTGGATGTTCCAGTCTAGGCACCATAACAACATGTAATACATCACTGTAAACGTTTTTTTTACTTTAATTGTATCATTATTAAAGTAAAAAAAAAGTATTTACAAAGAATATTTATATACTAGATGAACCACTCAATGTGCTTCATCTGCTTCCTCAAAAGGAATAAATTGGGCCTGTTATTGCCACATTTTTCATTGAAGTGGACCAAATTGTTAATCTAAATCATTCTACAATACACTTGAACACAAAAAAAACACATCAAAATCGGTCCAGCTGTTTAGGAGGAGTTTAGGCACATACGGACATAAGAATGATATATATTTAGATAAAGATATCCATCCATGTATATATCCATATCAAATATATATATCCATAATTATTGCATGCATCAAAAACACGAAAGAATATTTTTGAGGTACTTAAATTATTAAAGAATTAAGTAAATTAGCAGAAAGAAAAGAAAGGCTACCTGACTAGGTGGACTACCTTTACTTTCTGCTAATTTAACGCTAATCTAAGAAGTACAAATATCTATCAGTTTGTAGATATACTAAAAGAAGGATCTTTATCATTTTTACTGATACTTGTAAGAAGTCGTCATTTAAGGATTATAGCTTTTTATTTGAAGTTTTTCCTAAATATTTTTATTACAGCGCCATAACAAAAATAAAATATATATAGGTACTTACAGGCGGAACATCATATTCTTGTGATAACTTCAACTGCGATTTAAATACTTTGTTCTGTGTCTCTAGCAAACTTATCCTAGATATAAGCCACCAGTAATACATTACAGATACAGCTATCCATAAGCCTAATGGTATCCCTAGCCTGGGTCGAAAATATAAGCAAGAAAACACATTCTTTGATCTAATAATCATCTCTGATATTTTTTAAACATATTAAAAACTAAATTCGCAACAATGCCATGATTATCTTATAAACGCTTAATTATTATTTTTTAAGTTACTTGTAATTTTGAAATTTTTACTTCACTGCCAATTATTAAACCATTATTAAATAGGTAATGTACGCATTTGTTTTATTTACATCGATTTTGATTACATATGACGTTATGTCCACAACACATGATTCAGTGTTGCCAATCAACTCCTACTCTTTTTCACCCTAGAATTCTTTGTTCTTTTTCTGTTCTGTTAGAAAAGCGAACAAAAGATAGAAGAAACATAGTACGGAGCAGAAAAAAAGTGTAATATGAACAGGCGATGAGGGTAAGAGTTAGTTTGTTTTAGTTTTCTGAAAAATAATTGTGACATATTAATGATGTCTTGTTCACACTGAACCCATTGATATAATAACTGAACCTATCAAGATTGGTTTAGCTGAAGTAGACAGAATATTTTACTTTTTTATAGTTTTGTCTGCTAAAACTGTTAAAGTTTGGAATTTAAACAGCGCAGAGGCGCAGTATGTAAGTGAGATTATTAATTTACTCAATATTATTATAGTCTGATTTTTAATTAGAAAGACCAAAATGACAGCACCAATCGACCTATGTTTTTTTTAAATGTTGCAAGCATAGCTTTTTCATTTAGCTCAACTTAGTTGATTTTTTTTTACCGTATTGCACTATTAATATGAAAGGGTTATATAAAATTATTATATCTTCTAAAAAAGAAAAGTAATAAGGTTTCTTTTTAGTAAAGAAGCGCCGACATTTGTAAAGGTTAGTCATAATTTAATTAACAAGAAATTTAATTTGAAAATATACTGATAACTCATTATAAGTAATAGGCTAGTTGACTCAATTTGAAAACTTGGTTAATTTTATACTTTAATATCCATTTTATTCAGCAAAACCTTTATTTTAAAGAAAAAGCATTACGTTACGTATTACGTATTTTGTATTTAAAAAAACTATTTAAATTTCTCTTGAAAACGCTGAAGTGTCATGGCGTCTTGAATGACGTCACAGCCTGTGAAACAAAACTGTTTACGTCTGTGTCCAGTGTCAACTGAAACTGTATTAAGGTGAGAAAATATGCTAAAAACGAAAAACAATAACCTGAGTAACCTGCTCTGTTGTATAAAAACGTCAACATCAACAATGATTTTTTGCGCGGCGTGAGTAATACTTTCGGATTGGTGTTCACTTTCACGTGATTAAATATTAATAATCTTTAACTTTTATGAGAAATAGACTGGTTTTTTCTTATCTATGTCTCTTCATTTATAATTTGAAACTTTAAACCAAGCAATGTGTGACACAAGCCTATTAATAATAATCAAATACATGAAGCGAATGTTGATTTTGAACAGAAACTTTTAGACTATTGTACGACAGCAAAACTCTTGCCGTACTTACCTGTGATAGTAATATGCTTATTCTTTTTGCTAGTGAAACAAAATTAAATGAACTAGGAAGTGAGTCATTTAACTTTGTAAGCATAGTTTAAATATGTGGTATCTGGTTAGGACTTACCAATTTAAATAAAAGTGCAGTTTTGTTTGGATCTAAGATCAGAGACTCAAGTTTATATTCTGAAAATGTGTCTACAATTATAAATCCAGGCTACTCATGTAATGAAGATTGATCACTATATCAATGCAAATTCCAACTATGTTATAAATTAACTAAACTTAAACATTCAGAATACTGCACTATTTTCATTATGATAACGTACTTAACGCAACCCACCAAATGTCATTTTAGTCTATTTGTTAAAAAACAGACTATCTATGGAGAGTAGAGCAGTGGCGGATTAACTAAGGCAAAGTAGGCACGTGCCTAGGGGCGCGAGGGTACGAAGGGGCGTGTGCGCAGATTTTTTTTAACAAAAAAATATATATGCCTAACATGAAAGAAGGGCTCCGCAAGCAGCTTTTATTAAGACCTTTTTTAGGTGACAGATGACCTCACCTGTCAACCCCAGGCCTGCACTTATGCAGGACGGGGGTCATTCAGCGACGTTCCACGTTCTCTCGCTCTGTACCATAGTCGCAATCATAGTACCGAACTAGAGAATCCTCATCCGCCATAATGCTTTGTTGCCCAAGCCTTTCCCTCTACTCCCCGGCAAAGTTGGGATTGCTGGTCCTCGATTTCTCGAGTCCCAGGATCCGGAATTAGTACGAGCCCCAGATAACTCATCGAGGACTCGATGTCGATGCGATTCTTCCTTACTATGTAGCTGAATCCCTCAGCCGCCTACGAGGCTCATGAAAGAACAAAGCTTGAGATCTGTGCAGAGACACCTCGAGACCGCGCCACCGGACCGGCGTCAGTCGGAAGGAAAGGGTCCCGTGCTGCCACCCTGCCCAGTAGACGATGGTCGGCTGGAGTGCCTCCACAGCCCTCAGCCGGGACGACCAACGAGCCATCGTGGCGGCGAGCGGCCTGACGCCACTCATTTCACCTCTAAACTCCATGAGAGAGTTCCGCCACCACCCTCTGAAGGTGCTAGAGGCGCTCCTTATCCTGGGTCTATTACTACAACTTATAGAGTAATTATAACTACAGCTACAGTTGTAGCAACTGCATTTTTGTGTACACGCACTAGCCTCAATCTTAGTAGGTATTAGAAAAGGAAAGCAGAGAAGACGAATTCTATAGAGACGTTTAAGGTTGACGTCTAGGGTTCCTAGGGTACCCTAGGAACCCTAGACGTCAACCTTAAACGTCTCTATAGAATTAAAGAATTGTTTACGTGCATATATTATACATACGAACCTGCCTCTTGAATCACTCTTTCTTTTTGTAAAAACCGCATTAATTCGTAATTCGTCGCTTAGTTTAAAAGATCTAAGCGTACAACACAAAAAAGCGACTATTCATGAATCTTTGCAATCAATGAGTAATTTTCTTTTAACTTTGTGATTGGGTAGTGTCATATTTATATTTTTGTTTGAGACTATGGTGTTATTAAAAACCGCTATAAAACAAGACATTAAAGAAGACTGTACAGAAGAAATAGTAAAATGTGATTAATAAAATTAGTTAGAAAATAGCAAAATTTTAATTCCACATACACACGGTATGTTTTACAAAACTAAAATTTTCTAAGCTCTATAAAGACAACTAAACTTTAATCTCCAAAAAGGATCTTATGTAACATAACTACACTTGGACTGGCAGTCAGAGTAATAAGTGAGGAGAGGTAAAGAGAACCATATCTCTGTGTTTGAAAAGTGTCCGTCAAAATGCGTTAAATTGGAGATTGTCTTAGCATCAGGGTAAATGTTAAAGAAAGGACCAAAACATGTTAGAGTAGGATAGAGAAATAAACATTGAAAGAACAATATTGTGTAAATTATTTTTTTAAGCCTATAAAAATGATTTTTACTACAAAAATACCTTTTATGACAGTTGCGAGATCGAAAGATGATCGGAACTGAATTATGAACGAACTTTTATTACGAAAATTGGCCTTCTAGTGCGAAGTCTCACAAATTTAATAGTGTTACCAAAATAGAAGAATACTATCAATCTGAAACACGTAAAATACAATATGGCGTACCTCAGGGTAGTGTATTAGGACCATTATTGTTCCTAATATACATTAATGACCTACCTAATGTAACCCATAACCCAATAGCCCTATTTGCAGATGATAGTACAATTACTATTAAATGTAATAATAAGGATACATATAATGATGATATAAATAACGCTTTAAACTCTGTTCTCGACTGGCTAGATGTAAACAATTTAAGAGCTAACATAGGAAAAACAATGCTCATGCATTTTAGTCAGCGTATTCCTAGTATTAAAAACCTACAGATATGCGCTAACGGCCAATCTTTAAATGAAGTAGATTCCACAAAATTTCTAGGTGTAATAATAGACAATAAGTTAACATGGAAACAACAGGTAGAACAAATATGCAAGAGGGTCAGTAAATCAGTGTATGCACTTCATGAATTGTCACAAGTAATTAATACTCATGCACTTCTGACTGCATACCATGGTATGGTGGCGTCAGTTCTTAGGTTTGGTATAATTTTCTGGGGTAACTCTGTACATAAAGATAAAGTATTCAAGGTACAGAAACGTTGTGTGAGGGCAATGTTCTCTCTAAAATCAACCGACAGCTGTCTGCCCTATTATAAAAAATATAATATTTTGACACTACCATCCATTTATATACTCGAGGTAGCTATGTTTGCCAAACTAAATCCTAATTTATTTGTTTTGTCTTCTGATGCGTACGGCCGAATGCAAAGAGATAAATCCCGGCTATGCCTGTGTAAATCAAACACTGCTCTAATGCATAACAGTGTTTTCGCCATGGCTCCAAAAATATATAATAAATTGCCTAGGAATATAAAGGAGTCAAATCCGACTATCTTTAAACAGACATTAAAAAAAATTCTGAGCCAAAAATGCTATTATAATATAAATGATTTTCTGCAAGACAAATTGTAAATCAAATTAATTTCGTTCATTGTTATTTAATTTATGTTGAACATGACAATGTGACATTTTTTTTTTATTTTTATTATTTTGACTATTTGATTATTATTGTTGTTTTTTTTTTATTATTATTTTTTGGTTTTATTATATTGATCTGACTTAATAGCATTCATAACACTCTTGACATTATTAATTCTCTGAATAAATTTATGACATGAATATATTCTTCAAATTGTGTTTGTAATGTTGAGCGTCTAAATAATAATCTTTTAAATATCTATGACTAAATATTTGCACACCTTTAAGAGGTTATATTACAGCGTACCTATGTATTATATGATGTTCTTCTACCACCTTTATACCTGTTTTATGCAAATAATAAATGATTTTGATTTTGATTTATTTTTCTTGTATAAAATGTGTAATGACGATGTAGACGCAGAGGGGGTCTGTAAGTATTGATGCAAATGGCTTACTTTTGTCTGATCTTACGATAGAAAGAATAAGCCCCTAAACCGTTGGGGCTACAAACTTGAATTTTTAATAGTTGATGCTTTTTTACATTGCAAGTAACTTTTTGTGTTGCAAGCACTCACTAAACATGGATTTTTAAAAGTTTTACTATTAAGGGGATAAAATAAGTGATGAGCAGTGTATGGAAGTTCGCCGTTTAAATAAAAACAACTGTCTAACGGCCTGATGACATTGTGGTTGCATTGATGAGAAATCAGGAATAAGACTGATGCGAAAAATATATAGGAACAACATAACATTTAGATAGTATGGGCTGATATTTATCATATGCAAATTGATAATATGAATAATGACAAATAAAATACGAGTGCGACCATCTGATTGACACTTAAATAAACTTCATTATTGATTAGATTGTTTGGCCATTATAAATATTACTACATTACTGTAGGGAAATGTCTCCTATTGGACACCAGGTATTAGAGACTTTTAGTACAGAAACCTTATCAAATATCTATGTCCTTGTCTATGTCTTTGATGATTGAATCATATAATATTTGGTCTGCAGTAGTTTGAATAGTAGGTAGAGTAGGCATATTTCTTCTACCATCAATTACGGGATATTGGCCACCAGGAATCCTTCTTGGGTTGTTAAGATACCTCATTCCAAGATTCCTAATATTATTGTCACTATTTAAAGATTTTTTAATCTCAGGCAATGTTATAGTTTCTAGATAAGTTTTTTGAAGTGACGGACGTGGTACTAATCTAGTTTTGCTGCTATTAGAATTACCAGTCACTACTTGTGGATGGACAGGTATAGTACGTTCAAGGTAGTAGTCATCCCAAAATTTTTCTTCGAATGATGTTACAGCTTTTGACAAATCTGGAACAGTAGCCTTTTTTTCATCACTCAACATTCTTCTAAAATCAGGTTCGGCTGTAGTGTTCTTTATTATTTGTACATACATTTCCGAAGTAATAAACTTCTCCCAGTCGAATTCACCATCAAATCTTTCAAATGTTTCAAAGTCCTCGTGAAGGTCGAAGATACTCGGCGTGGATACTGTAATGTTCTCAACATTTTCTTCGTCTGAAATGTTTTTATTGAGTTTTATGTAATTGATATCGTACTTGGTTTTGGAAGTTGAGCTCAGTGTGTTTTCGTTTTTCTTAATTTCATCAATATAAAAATCTTGGTGTAGGTCATCCCCCTCAACCTTATTTATGTCAATATTCTTTGATATGCTTTTTAAATAATCTCTGCTTGTAATGTTACTGTGTCTTCTATACTTGTACAATTTGTGTAAATCTGTACTATTGATTTGTTTATATTTTTTTTCATTTTTTGCTTGACTTTTGATAGTTTTTGTTAGTTGCTGCAGTTTCTGTGTGTTTTCATCTAAGTTCAATTTAAATTTTTCATTTTTATCTGTAGTTGTAGTAGTATCATTGTCAAGACTCTTGGTAAGCATTTTTATAGCTGGTTTTTCAATGAAAGTTTTTAATAAAATAGTAGCTTTTTCATTCATGAGTTTCAGCTTGGTTCGTTGTTTTTCTTTTTGACGTAATTGATTTTGTAGGTCTTCAATTATCCGAGTATCGTTTTCTATTTGAGCTTTTACTACTTTTATATCATTTTCCAGCCGTTGTAACTGAGTTAAAACTTTTTTTTTAATATCAAAACTGTCTCTAGTTTGATTTATATTGCTTCTTTTGTTTTGATATTGTTTTCTGTTATCGAACTTAGCGCTTATACTTTGGGCAGGTAATGACGTTAAGACTTTAGCGAAAACCATAGGTGATCTTCTAAAATATATTTGGTTTTCGATTTTTACCTTTGTTGATAAACTTTTAAACGATGACATTGCACTTTTAACAGTAAAAGACTTATTAAATTGGGGATCTTTACGCTTCTTTAAATATCTGTGATGCCTGAAATAAATAGTAAACATGTTTTTAGCTTTTAGAAATATAAAATATAAAAAAATAGTCCCACATTGAAGCTAGTCTAACGTGATGTATGCTGTTATTGCACCAATGGCGAATTAGCAGTATTGTCCTCCCTAGGCTCCAGACCATCAGCCTCCCCTTTCGCAGCATCCATCACATAGACTACATAATGATTAGAAATGACACAAGCTCTTTTTTTATTTCAATGAGTTAAGAAATCACATTACTTCATTTCTAGCATGCCGCGTGACGCCGCAGTCTGTCATGTGATTCGGTTTTATTCTACGGATTTCCGTACCACCGCGTTCCGCGATAGGTCCATAGGTCACAGTATTATGACCATTCTCCTAGCACGGAATTAGGGGCGTAAGCGTTTGGCTTCTGTAACTTCACTCACAAGACCGAACACCGGTTTTCTGTAAGGCCGCGTTATCACTCCGGTCGAGCAGACCCATTTTAACATCTTTCTTTAACGTATCAGTTGGGATTTGTCTCTCTTCAGCCTCAGCCAGAACTGCTATTAATACTAAATTTCGGTCAATCATAACGATACAACGGAATTTGAATCCGCGCAGAATAAAACTGGTCAGATGATCTCTAAAGTATCCTTAGCATCAGCTGGTATCAGAAGGTCCCATGTTTCCTCACGAGCTAATCCCACATAACGCCCCATAATTTCCCGAATGTAAAATTATCCCCCTTAAGGGAATCCCAAATATCCCATTATTTGGGATTCCCTTAAGGCGAATGAATTCTTCGCATGTTGTTGAAGAGAGATATCGTGTTTTTCCTATGCCTGGATTCCAATGATCAAACACATAACATTAGGTTAGCCACATCGGTACGTTAGCAACAGCTCTAAGGACATTATTCCCACCTCAATTGAACCCAATTTCTCATCGTGTGCTCTAAAGAAGCACTTGCAAGTACTTTTACACATGGAACTGCTTTTTCCAGAATCTTTTGCCAGTATTTATAATTTTTCATATAATTCCATTGTCAATGCACTGAAGTAACTTGTCAGGGCAATGATGTGATTAAAGGTGTTGTATCATTTGTTCGTATGCAAAACAAATAATTTGAGAGTGCACCACTGCATTGCACCATGATTTTACGTACTTACCTTGGGACTGAGACTATCCCTGTTGATAATTCATAGTATTAAAGCAATCATTGTTTACTATACGTACTTACATTTACTTACATATATTCTTTAGATCTGCCTATTTTACTGAGTGCAAAAGGTCTCAATGTCTCAATATCTATAAAAATATTGTGCTTGGTGTTTGATTTTGTAAGGTCATCTGCCTTATTTGTTAATTCTTCTATGGGCTTACTTAATGATTGTATTTTAAATTTTACGTTTCTTGATTGGCTCGTTAATATGTGCAAGGCTGTAAAAATTAAAAAAAATCAAAATTTCTTTTCGCAGTATAATTACAATCGTACGAGTAATTTCTATTTAAGAAATCACATCACATCACATCGCCTATCCTTAGAAAGGAGGATTTGGCCTATTATACTAACCTGCGATGGCTAAAAAGACGATTTGGAATAGGGGTTGTGTAAATTTTTCCTTCTCTTTGCAGTGCTGATATCCTGCGTTGTTTATTCCCTTGGTTGGCTCTTACGACACCCACAGGATGAATAGGGGTGATGATAATACCACCACCACACAGGTATTTAAGACATTAAAGAATAAAGGAAGAGATGATAGCTTTTCTGACACTTTTACAGTCTTAGCAGCTCAATATTAAGTTTTTTCTTATCATTTTACTTAAGTATATGTAAATGACTTTTATGTAATAATTTTTTATTGCCATTAAAGGGAAGAATTAAAAAAAAATAGTTTAAAAAAAAACGCTTTTTATAGAAAACCAAACTAAACTGCTAACTAACTGCTTTTTACTGTAGACAACAGGCACGCTACGCTTTTTTTTCAAATTTATTGAAATTTATTTTCTAGTTTTTTAGTTTGCTTTTCTATAAAAGCGTGTTCTGTAGTTTTTAAAACATTTTTTTTTAAATTAGTGTATTGTCATCGGTCCTCGATATATCTACAAAGTTTGAACGAATTCTGACCGTTTAAAGTCAGTCAAAATCACGCCCAAAGGAGTCGGTTACTAACAAACATACAAACATACAAGTAAAGCTAATATAAAGCGTGTAAAAAGGGAGTCCTTTAAAAACTTTTAAATGAATCCCTTTTTAATTTGTATGGAATTTGCATTTAGGACAAGTAGATAGAGAGAGAGCGTTTAGTTGTCGGTCTCGGTTGCCTTATGACCATCTGTGGCAATCGTTGCGTGTAGTTGGAGACTTCAAAAGTCCGAAAACAGTCTTTCTACAGCACTTCAATATCGCCTAATACTTAATTGGGTTATGGAGGTTTTATGGCAGTTGCTCGGCGTAAAAATCGAAGTTCAACCGTATCGTAGTAGACTTAAAGCCGACCCTAACCTATTTTGGGAAAAGGGTCGGTGGAAGTAGAAGAAGATACTTAAATTGATTTATGTCAGTTCGGTTATATCTCGGTGTTTTGGGTACAACTTGTGTTGAAAACTTATTACTTTAATTACTTCAGAAAATGAAGAAGTTCTCCGTTTCGCTGAATCTTCGGTAACCTCACTCACTTGGTGAAAAGCAACTAAAGAATTGGTATTACTCCAGACTAGCCGGCTAATTTGGGCTCTAGCACGGCTCTTCCATAAAGTCAAAGTCAAAATTTATTTATTTCATAAAGAAATAAATTGGAGATGTTCCTCCAGGGCGGATACGATCGTGATAACATCCATCCCTGACAGCCATGGAACTTATGAGGGCCGATAGCGAGAGATCCTCTCTGATGTCGCCTGCAAGTGCTGAGTCCACAGTACAGATACAGTTTCTGTTCTAGTGCCTAAATTTTTATGTAGGTACACGCACTGGACTCAGTCTTCATGCATATCAGAGAAGTAAAGCCGTAGCCGTAAAGTTTAGTGGCAAAAAAGTAATGTAGACGCTACATGTCAACCTTGCACATCTCTATAAAATTAAAGAGTTTGTATTATGTAAGTAGGTGGATAGGTACTGACACAATTCATTTTCTGGTAGGCATATGTTTTTTTTCTTTATTTAAAAATTCTGCGCGTGCTTCCTTTTTTAACCTCGCGCCCCTAGGCCCAAGCCTATTTTGGCTTAGGGATAATCCACCGGTGCCTGTGCCGATTTACAACCTCCCATTGAGCCATATGAGAAGAAAGGGCAAATGCAAACTCACATTGATAGATACAGTTCATTAAAAATATTACAACACTGTTTTGATCCAGTATATCATTTATTAAGGACTAATAAGAAATTTCATGACCTACCCATAATTTTAATACTACTTACCGGTACCGATACAAGCAAAACGCACCTTCAGTGTTAAATATTACGAAAATAAGAAACCAGCTGCACACTAACATTTTACAACAATGTGATATAATTTAATAGTCACAACGGTAGGATAAAGTATTTTACGTGTTTGGTAAATAATAAAAACATACATTACATTTTGTGTATAAAGTTAACTACTACTACCATTTCATATGTTGTAACACTCGTACATATGAAGTCATTCGGGTCAAGTGCGCGCACCATAGAGAGAACACGGGCTGTATCTCTTCCACTTACAGCTGCCTGTAAGTGGAAGAGATAAAGGCAACGAGAGAATTGGATGCACGATAGTTCACTCTGTCTCTGTTAAGCTAAGCTGCGATTGGCTATCGTAAAGTTTGCATGGTTTTGATCGAAGAACAGGCAGGAGATTATAAATTTACATAGCGAACCACAGAGCTCGACTCGAAAGAGATAGAGGGAATTATCTATTAGCCATCTCTCTCGTAGCTTATAAGATGCCAAGATTGGGGCTCTTGTTAACTCAATGCTAATATCTCGATGGCGCGCATTCGCACTTTGACATACTGCACGGATGGCGTAGTGGTTTAAGCGGTCACCTTGCCACTTACTACTACGCTGAGTGTTGTGGGTCCGATCCCCACATGGGACGACACAAAGTTGTGTGATCCACAAATTGTTGTTCTTAGTCTGGGTGTTCTTTGTGTCCGTTTCATGTATGTTTGTAAAGTCCCCCGCGACACCGGATATATGTAATATATATATATATACCTAATGCGGGAGTTGGGCGGCAGTCAGAGGGCGGCAAAATCATAATATAGTGTGAATGAAATAAAAAAAACTAGCTCCACAAGCGCCTAGCATACGGAAGCCTGGTTGGCTCACCGTCGATTTGTAAGAAAAAGGCGCCACACAGGTCTACACTACAAGTGAACTTATATCTTTGTGAGTTTTTTTAAGTAATTCATCTCAAACGGGAGGCACCACTATCAAGTTTCTGCCCTCCTACGAATAAATCATAGATCCGGGGCTGTCCACTATAGCGCATCAATAAAAACAAATAACTTTAGAAAAAAATTGTTTATTAAAAACATATTTTTAAACAAAAGAAAGTCCTTAAATCTAATATTAGGTATCTATTTTCGTATTAGTAATCTAACATTTGTATTAAAAGATTCAAGCTGAATAAGAGTACAATTTAGTTTTGTATCTCAGCAATAAAAAAGTCAAGTATTTACTTAGTTTTCATAAATATTTACAGGTATGTGGAATGTAAGTTCAAAAACTATTTTAACTCAATATAGTTTAAGGTATAAAAATCATACTTAAATATCGTTTTATAGTAAAACTTAAATTGTAAAGAATTATTACATAAAAGGTTAGTTAGATTTAACACATTAATTCACGGGTAAAATGTTAACCGATAACTTGGTTTTAAATGGTGATTCAGCACTTTAAGTGATGTATAAATACCATACAATGTTTATACAATACAAGCTCAACTTTTTTTTTACTATTATCTACATAATATTAGCCGCAGATTAAATATAAGTAAATTACTTTTTAAATCTGACAGCAATCTCAATTTTTTAAAGGTGGGAAACTTGAATCTATAAAATAACAAAAAGTTTTTATTACAAGTTGTTTTCTTTATAATTTATTAATTAAAAAGTAAACTAAAACTAATTATTTGTACTTAGTTAATTTCTGTTTCTCCGTCGTACTGCCTGGCCTGCCTCGGGTCGTAGGGCTGTCCGTATGGTACGAACTGTTGAGGTACCTCGCCGTCGTCAGTTCGAGTCTCAATATTGTCAGATAGTTTGACAGGCTCTGTGGGCTCAGGGCTGTCTTCTGTGACGTCTTTCTTATAAGGTATGCTGTCGTCATCTGAGTTGATTTTCACCGATTCATCTGCGTCCAACGGTCTATAAAAATTAATTTATGTTTATTAGATAAATAACTGCTTAAATAGAACGCGCGGTTGAAATTTATTTGAAATCCGAATAAGTTATAGTTTTCTGTATCCTTATATCAATTTCTGTATCCCAAAAATTGTGCAAAATTTCACGATTATAATATAATATTAATAATATATATCACACATCTCACACACTGCCGTCTGATCCCAAACTAGGCAGAGCCTGTGCTATGGTGACCAGACTGCTGATAAACATACTTATATATATTTTTAAAATACCTACATATTATAGATAAATTACACCCAGACTCAGAACAAATGATCATGCTCATCACACAATATTTGTCCAGAGGGGGAATCGAACCCACGACCTCCGGCTTAGCAGTCAGGGGCACTAACCACTAGACCAACAGGTTAAGCATTTAAAGTAAGTTGGGATTTTACAGCAAATGCGTCCTTCCTTTGTTTTAATTGCACGATTATGAACTGTGCTAAGAAACTTATTTAAATAACTATTAATAACATTTCAAAGAGAGTAGAAGGCTTTATAAATGCGAATATCAGTTTGGCTGTTTGTCCTTTACAACTTAACAGTGTTACCGATTATTTTGTGTACACGTTGTCGGATATAAAAAAAGTACCTACAAAAGTCAGGTTGTTTTTTGTTTCTAAATTAGATTCTTTACCTGATTGCCATAAAGTCATTCTCCTCTTTCTCATCGTCTTTTCTCCTTTTCAGTATCCTCCATCCGATGCAGATGAATACAATCACGATGGGCACCATGATTGCACTGATGATGCCCCATGTTGCTCCCAAAGTACGAGCGGAGTATTCCTGCTTACCTGGAGATTTGTAGCAGTAACGATAAATTATAATCATACCAAGTTGTTTCTGATAGGGATTGGATATTAATAATGGCCCTGATTTTGAACATATGTAATAATAATAATAACCTTACACATCTCACGCACGGCCATCTTAAACTAGGCGGAGCCTGCACTATGGTAACCAGACTGCTGATAAACTTACTAATATATTTCTAAATACATACATATTACAGATAAAGATAGGAAAAATGATCGTGCTCATCATACAATTCTTTGTCCTGGGTGGGAATCGAACCGACCTCTGGTTTAGCAGTCAACTAACCACTAGACCAACAGGCTCATCAAAATGTTTTATTTAAAAAAAGATCTTCTCAGCCACTTATGCAAGTCGATTAATTCGGGTAACAGATCATTATCATCAACAGCCTTTAATAGTCCATTGCTGGACATAGGTCTCTCTTAAGAAGGAGGTTTTGGCCTAATGTTCCACGCTGACCAGACGGGTTGGACAAAGATTAGATGGTGTCGACATACTCGTATCTTATGACTAGAATTTACAAGAAATGCCGCTACAAAGGATCCATATCTATAAATACGAAATAGCAAGTACCACGTAAAGCGTTGGCTTTTATTTCAAAGACCCAGTAGACTAAATAAATATTAATTTATATGTGAATAACCGTGTAGTGACGGATTAAGAATACAAAACAACGCAGGACACCAGCGCCGATACGATTACTAATTGTAGCACCTAACCTAAATATTGTAGTGACGGCATGAGAATACGAAGTGTTACGACCCCTACTCATCCCGTGGGTGTCGTAAGAGTCGACTAAGGGTGCAAACTACGCAGGACAATAGCACTGAAAACAGAAGGAAAACTTGACACAAAACCTTTTTTTTTTTTTTTTTTTTTTTTTTTTTAACGTGTGGAAATCCCCTCGGACCGTCACCCCTCCGGGGTTTGCGGCGGGGTGGTGTGTCGGACTCGGACCGACTAAAACCACACGGTGTGCCACTCTGCGCCTGTAACAGGAGGGATCCGGGAACAGCTGTTGTTAAGACATCCGGACCCCTCCTAGCGCCAGCCCGCTCCTGGTGCGGGCTCCGTCTCGATGTTGTTCCTCTCTTTAGGCGACGTCCGGCACACGCGGACGCCGCCCCCTCGCGGCTGGCCAAACTAATGCGGGTGGAGGGGAAACCCACCCCGTCCACCCGCGGCCACACTCAGGGCGGCATGAGGCTGTGGTAGGCGGGCCTCCGCCGCCCGGTTCGCCGGCGGCGGATCGGGTCCGAGTGGAGGTCGTCCTCCCGGGCCCTCTCCGCCGCCTCCTTCCGCGAGATTATTACCTCGCAGAAGGTTGCGACCGCGGTAAAACAACTGTCGCTACCGGCCATGGAGCGTACTACGGCCGGTAGCGAGAGATCCACTCCGATGACTGCAGTGAGGGCCCGGCGCTGCGCCGCCCATGCGGGGCAGACCGCCAGCGTGTGCTGGGCCGAGTCCTCACTGCAGTCGCAGTGGTGGCAGGCGGGACTCAGTTCCCTCCTAGCGACCGTGTGCAGGTACTTTCCGAAGCAACCGTGCCCGGAAAGCACCTGCGTCAGCCGGAAGGAAAGGGTCCCGTGCTGCCGCCCTGCCCCTATACCAACCCGTCTGGCCAGCGTGGTATAGTAGGCAAAAACCTCCTTTCTAAGGAGAGGCCTGTGTGCCATGTCCAGCAGGGAACTATTAAAGGCTGTTGATGTAATGATGTGGACCTTTTATGGCGTGGAAATCTATACAATTACAGCGCAAGTTGTACCGTCCAACGGATTTCTTAACGAACTGTTGTCAAAATTCGACTATCTGAAAATCTCTACTACTAATTTTTATTGGCGCACTAAGGTTTTCAAAGTTTTCATTCTCCACCTTGCCAAGATTAGACGAAATGAATTTTTAAGTAAAGATTTCTTAAACCATGCTACCACAAAATAATTTTAATCTTAAATGACTTAGAAATGCCTATCAAATCAATAAATCCTCAAGAAAAACTGGTTCCGCAGGTAGAAGTGTCCTTAACATATTTTAACACCATAAATGTTTACCAACGATAAAAAAATTGAAACCCTTCTAATGCAATTTATCAAACAGATATGCTATCAGTGTGCAAAGCCCTAAACTTATCTCTAATACACATAAAAAAAAATATTACACTCACCTGTACGCGTGACCTCAATCTTTTATGTACTCTAGATAAGAAAGCAAGTAATAACTCCACAGTTTAGGAAATAGCAAAACAAAATAAATCACAATTCAGAGAGAAATTTCTATTCCACATACAACGTGGCAAATGAATGTAATTCCTTGCTTTCTTATATTAATAAAAACAAAAAGTCAAGTGGATGTTATTCTACCTGAATAGGAACAGAAATTTCCTCTTCATGTGACTTGTTCATTAGTTTAAAATAACTTTATTTATATAAATATGATTTACAAACATTCAACAACGATGGGAAACTCACGAGAGCCAAAAATCCTAACATGTAAAGTGCAAAATACTATTTTGTGCTTTCTTAATCTCTTAACTAAAACTTATGCTACTATTGAATATTAAATAATTAAGGCTGTGGAATAATACTACTGCCTACTACCTGTTTTTATTCCAAAACTTACTTCTAGGCTTTAATCTTTTAACGTTCAGACCATAGTCGAACGACCACTCATTGTGGGGACTTCAATTGTTGGTGGATCAATTAGGGTCTCCATAGATTTACCCTTTTCTGCCGGCATAGTGAATGTCTTTACAGAATCTGAAGGAGCGCTCTTTGGAGGTTCTGGTAGTCCAGGATTGTTGTACGTATTCCTAGGACTATTGTCAGAAATGGGACTTAACGGTGGTGAATAAATTTCTGAATAAGTTGGAGATGGAATGGGGCTATATTGACCGTCATATCTTGGTGAATAAGGATCGTCCGAATCCTTTGCAGAATAGCCGGAATCACTAGGAAGAGCCCTACGGCCTAACTGGCGTGGTTTGCTAACGTATTCAATGTCTTTGGCGGGACGAGTTAGGGTAGAATCTTTGTTTGATTCTGTGTCGGAAGGAGATGTTATTGAAAGCAAGTCTTCTTCGGACAAGTCCCAAGGTTTCTCGGGGAAATCCACCTGAGGAGCGTTCGGCAAAGGTTCATTTGTTCTATAAGTTTTATCATAATTTCTTCGCTTTTTGGGGTTTGAGTTATCTGATTTATCGCTTTTGCTAGAACCTGGATACCCTATACCAGAACTATCTCCTACGTCATCTTGTGGAATAGGAGGAGCTGACCTAGCAATGCCGACGGGCGCTGTCATTGGAGTCTCTTCTGTAGGAGTTTGAGGTATTTTCTCTTTGTTGCTAGGTAACGTGGACGATTTCATGGTATCCGTGAGATTTCCCATTGAAGCTGACCTAAGATTAAGTCGAGATGCTGATTTTGAGCGCGGTATATCTTCAAAACGGAAGGCTTCTTTGCCCTCGGATCGTGGTTTGTACCAGCACCAGAACCAGAGTAAACAGATTAAGAGGCCTAATGGTAGAATAACCGCCACTATGACTCCTCCAGTCAGGAATAGAGCACGTTGCGAGAACTCTTGTTGACCTGAATTACGAAATATTAAGGTCATAATGATGCACTTATACATGTAACACAGTTCCCAGTATGTTGTGTGAGTCATATGCATTATATGTTATGTTAAGTGACGTTGAGTGTCTGCAAAATCGTGAAATGTTAAATTTATTGAACCTTATGTGGTTGCCCTAATGTAGTGTTTTTGAAGAATATGACAAAATTTTACTTAATTGCTGTTTTATAATTGTATGATTAAAACTCTTTTGTTAAGTATAAAAGAGTTTTAATCATACTTTATTGTTTATTCAATTTATCCATACTAGTAATTTTATAAATGCGAAAGTATATCTGTCTGTCTGTTACCTCTACTTATATCTCTCGCTTATATCGCTGAACCGATTTAAGTTTATTTTTGTATAGAGATAGTCCGAGTCCCGGGAAAGGATATAGGGTAATTCAACCCAGAAATCCTCCTTTAAGGGGGTGAAAAGAGGGGTGGAATTTTGTATGGGGAAGGCTGAACAGATTTAGATGAAATTTGTTAGGGAGATACTTTAATTCATGAGGAAAGACATAGGCTGGCAAAAGCTAGTGATACTATAAATTATCAAATTTTGAAGTAATAAGTTATATTGTTTTTCAAGAAAACAAATTATCTATTCTAGAGACACAAAATATGCTTAACTAATTTCATTTCGATTTAAAATATATGTATTGAGAATACACAAAATTTTATTATTTAATTATGAAATTTGAACAAAGAATAAAAATAAAAAACAAAATGAAGAGAATTTATAGAAAAGACAATTAATCAATTCTATCAAGAGGTATGAAAGTAATAATATTTCATTTCGTATAAAACAATTTCGCATTATTACAATAAAATCAATGTATGGACAATCAATTTAACATAATGTTACTATACTGAGTTTAAATGTAAGTTTCAACAAGTGCGTGTCAGTGTATTGTTTAAATGGAACTATAGACAAACAAAACAAATAAATAATAGATTAAGTACTCACGTAGGCACTCAGTGTATCCATAATCCGGAAGGTTCCACCTTCCATTCAGCTCGCATGTACGCCGGTTGTCACCAATGAGAATGAAGTCTTGGTTACACTCGAAATTAACCTAACACAGGGAAAATATTATTATATAGGAAAATTTGCTGCGCAACGGACATTTTTCCTGGATCTCTGACGAATTGTGGTTTAGTGCCGATAATCAATTATGGCGTTGTTTATTGGTAAAAATTATGTGTTACATAACATTTAATAGATACTTCAATAGGTATATTACGTATATGAAATAACAGTTATGGTAACAATATCAGTAACACTTTGAAATTGATTCATTTGTAAAAAAAACATTTATATTTGCTAATCAAAAAAGATGAATAATAAACAAATAAATTTCACACACGCTCATCTGATTCTAAATTAGGCAGAGCTTGTTCAATGGTAACCAGACTGCTCATAAACACACAATAGTGTTTATTTAAAAAAATACATACATATTATTTTCCTTGAGTGGGACCCAGTCAGTCTTTTTGATAATTCAAAGTTCAAACTATTAACATAGCAATTTATCAAAAGTATGCAATTCTTATCTTGCAAAAATCTATCTGAAAAGAAATTTTTCGAAATCTACCCCTTATAGTTCCTGTTTAAGGGCAGTATTCTTGCCTCCTATTATGGACGTTTTAATACGCTTCTGCCCACCCTTTTGGGAATATAGGCGTGAGTGTATGACTGATCTGAAAGAGACAATATAACTCACTCTTGTTCCAGGCGTGAAGAAGAAATTACTCTTTCTACCGAAGCGAGGAGTTTCTAATATACCGCAGCTGATCACCCTGCGAGCAGTCGTTTGTTTTATGTTCGTCTGGAAACAAAAAAGGTTACATTTCTTAGTCTCCTTTATTCTTCTTTCTTGCCCTGGACTGTTCTAAGGGTGATCCTAAATACATTACTCTTTTTAAAGTAAAAAGTGGGCTAATGGAAGGTTATTAGAAAGGAATATAAACAGCCAGATATCTCAGAAGACAGTATAGCGCACGGCATGCACTGTTATGGCAATTCTCCCTTTTACATAACATTCTTAGATCTTGATAAGGAGAAGAAGGTCGCGTAATCCCTTGATAAAGTTCATCGAAACAGTCCAAAAATAGTTGGGCATTACCAAAATACACATGTGAATAAAACTGTATTGTCATCCACCTAATTTAATATTTAAATACCTGTTTAAAGTTTTCTATGAAATATAATAATATCTAAAATAAATATAAATTATATGATATATAAGAAAGGGACAAACTATAAGACGACTCACTATAATTTTAATTGAATGACATATTAATTGTGAAAAACAACCATTGGGTGTTATGTTATGGTACTCACGATGGTCACCAGGGACTTCCTTTCTAGGCTATACCTGGTTCCCCGGCTATTAGTACCCGAGACGGCGTGCGGTTTTAGTCGGTTCGAGTCCGACATGCCACCGATAAAAAAAAAAAAAAAAGGTGGTATCCGAGGGGATTTCCGCACGAAAAAAAAAAAAAAAAAAGGGTACTCACGATGGTAAATTATTTCATTGATTTCTGTTCGTATTTTCATTAAAATTTTGCACAGTTAATTGTATAAATAAACTTTAACGACAACTCTATGGTTTGGAGATTGTGAATGAACTAAGCCTTAGACTAAGTGACTGTAAGCACCATAGGGACCTTGAGAGATGCATTATAATTATAAGAACAATGGGTAAACGCATCATACTGTTGCACGCGAACTTAGGCTAGGGTTAGCGAAGGTACTCGTAGCTAAGTGAATTTGTCGCATCTGCGGTGACATAGAATTTCATTCAAAAATGTAATGTTAAAATATTATTAGTAGTATCAACTATTTATCTATTGAATTAAGTGTAGAAAGTTCTCAATCTTGCGACCTATTTTGCTATGGTTTTTTTACTTATAACATTTTCGAAATATTGAGCGATTGGCTGCTAGAACCAGCTAAGAACACTACATACAACAGTAGGGCATAGTTTTGAGTTGTGAAGTATTAAAAGTTTATGCCTAAAAAGTTCTTTAAAAAATTACTTATACAATTTAAGGTATGTTGTATAATTATTTTTGTACCTATAATTTAGGTACAAAAAGATTTTTTAAAATTCTTAGGTCTTGTTAAGAATTTACGGGCTTTATTTAATTTAAGGCCTACTAAAATTACATCTTTTTTGGTACGTGTAATTTTACTTGTGCTCACAAGTAACTTTACACTTAGCTGGTTCTCATACTAAACCTTAGTATCTGTGATGGTAAATAGAATAAACCATAAGTTATTTACTAGACTCTGAATTCTACAAATTATTTAACTTGAAAACGTTTCTTTTATCTGAAGTCTCTATGGGAAACTACTACTTAGGCAATTATGACTAGTTGACATTGTCAGTTTGCATTTATTATTTACGTAATGATACAAGATGACTCATAGTTTTGATGTCATCCTATACGAGGCAATGATGGTAAAAAATTTATGAGGTGCAAAGTTTTTGATAGCCGTTTTTACTACACTTAGGTTGTTACAGAAAGTTGTGGACTGACACGTGACTGCACTTAGCACATATTCGCAGTAAATCTTCTATATCTTTGATATTATATGAAACATACATATATGCATATGAGAACCTAATAAAATGTATACGTATATTTTGAAATATATCTACGAGTAGGTATATCAATGCTCGAATGGCGTAGTGGTTTAAGCAATCGTCACGCCGTTTACTACTACGCTGAGTGTTGTGGATCCGATCCCCACAAGGGACAACACTTTGTGTGATCCACAAATTGTTGTTCTGAGTCTGGGTGTTCTTTGTGTCCGTTTCATGTATGTTTGTAAAGTACCCCGCGACACAGGATATATTCCTAATGCGGGCGTTGTTTTTATTATTAAAAAATAAACTAAATATTTTTTCGACTAGTACTCACAATAGACGACAAATAATTCTTAGTAAACTCGGCCATATCTCGATTTAATGTCATGCCGTAATCATATCGACATTGATACGAGTCCTGACATAGTTCATTAGCTCGCCGAACGTCCTCCGATCTATTTGCTGGTAGAAAGTCCGCCGGCTCTCGAATAAAGTTCGGTACAAAAGTATTGTCGTTGAAGAAGGATGCTGTTCGCCCGTATTCTCTGAAGAACATTGCCACACCTATATTTTCTTGGTCTCGGTCAGTCAATTGCCCTGAAAGCAGGATAATTAACAGGTTAATTACATATAGATCATATTAATATCAATTTCTTAAACAACATATCAAATGGTAGTTTTAAAATCGTGGTAACTGGTGTTCTATCATCTCTGCCTATCACAAAATATTCTATCAAAAAGGTGTGAGTGTACGAATGTGCGTTTGTTAAAATTAATTTCGATGAGTACAGTTAACGTAGATTGGTGGTAGACGTGGTTTGCAACAATATTAACATTTTAAGTATTTTAAACATTTATCTCTGCATGCTATATACCTACACAAGTATACCTATATATATATATATAGGTATACTTGTGTAGGTATATATATATACCTACACAAGTATACTTAATTGACAAATATGAATGTGAATTCCTTCATTCTCTCATATATTTTTACAACTTAGTGAATCATTATAAAATTTTGACATGTATAGGGGGATGGAGAAGGATAGAGAAGGGATGGAGAAGGATCTGGAAAATAACGTTTAGATGTTCCTGAACCTCAATTTATCGATAAAGTCTTCGTTAACGTACAGCCACCGGCAAAAAAACTAGTTTTAAATTATGATATCATGTTCAGATGCAATGTTATTACTCACTGACTTGAATTATATAATTTCAAGAGGATATAGGTAATTTCAGATATTTCAAAAGTTGCAAATATTACTTTACGAATAGATCTTAAAGAAATAGTGTAGTGGGGTATACAAGTATCAGTGTGGTGACGGATTAAGAATGCCGATTGTAACATCGACTAAGGGAGCAACCTACGCAGAACAACAGTACTGCCCAGAAAGGAAAAACTGGACACAAACCAATCGCGGTGTTGTAGACCAAAACCTGCTTTCTAAGGCAGTCAGTGTCCAGCAGTGGACTTTCAAAGGCGGTTGATGATGATGTATATACGTATATTGTGTTTTACTTACAAAATTGTGCAAAGTCTCGATGTGCTGACTGAAAGTTGTTCAAATTAATGGGCACTCTGGTTCCATCAGGTCTTGTGAAGTCGTCATTAATGTCCAAAGACCAATTGCCGAATAGACCGCGAGTTTGATTCTGTTAGAAAATATGAAATAAATAAATCGATCGGAGTGGCGTGCAATGGGAGAGGCCTATATCCAGCCATGGACTGCGATAAGCTGATGATGATGATACGAAATTATACTAAAAAATTACGACGCAATCTTTTAATAATTTATTACTCAAACCTTCTTAAAGGTCTATTTTTTTAAATTTTAAATGTGTATGAACGAAGTACACACACAATCGGTAGGTTTATTTTATGATTAATTTATTTGTACTAACTTCTAAGCTTCCAAAGATATAATTATAAAAATGCAAAAAGATTTTCAATAGTAGAGTTAAAAATAGGCTATAACAATAGGTCTTACAGGCAATAATGAAACCTTTATTAAAACATTGACTCAAAATTACTCTTCTTTCCTCTTTTTGAATTGCTTTAGAATAAATAATAAAAAAAAATGATGATAAAGGAATGCAAATTTTGAAAAGAGACATACCATGTAGGTCCAAGGTAGATAAACTCTAGCTGTCATAAAGCCTCTGTTCTCGATAACCTCCACTCCAGCTCCAGAGGGGAACATTATCACTATTTCCGACTGGTTCAGAATGTACAAAGGCTGGTATACAGTCACACCTGTATGATAGAGACAAGTTTATTAATTCGAAAGAGAAAGGATATGGTGTGTTATAGGGTAAAATATAATGGCGATTTTTTTACTCAAAGACCAGCGCAGAAAGTACTTACTTGAATAGATTTAGTAGATATTTAGATAATAAATTAGCCTAAAACACATTCCTACGTATGACCAACAACAAGAAAAATCATCAGAAGCAAAGCTTGCCATATATTTGTTGTTACATTTCGACTGGCCTGTTTGTCTAGTGGTTAGTGACCCTGACTGCTACGCCAGAGGCCGTGGGCTCGATTTCCACCCAGGACAAATAATTGTGTGACAAGCACAGTCATTTGTTCTGTCTCTGGGTATACTTCTATATGGATGGACGGTCTATATGGATGTATTTAGAAATACATATGTATGTTTATCAGTAGTCTGGTTATAGTATAGTACAGGCTCTGCCTAGTTAGGAATCAGACGGCCGTGTGTGAGCCATTTGGTATTGAAAAAATAGTATTTGTTAAGAATAATTACCTGGGAAGTATTGTACCCTAAGAGCAGGTTTATCGAAATAGATCCTCCTATTGTCAGCGAATACGTCAAGCCTGTATCTCCACTGCGCATGCATTGGGCGGAGACGTACCTGCGATAAAAAAATATACTTAGCTTCATGATTAAAACTTTTGTTTTGTAGTAAGGGCTAATATTGGGGGCAAATAAGCTGCTGGATCACCTGGTGGAATTGACTTCTGATGCCTGCCACTCAAGGCATATGGGCAGTAATAATAATAAAGATTTTATTTCGGAAAGACAAAGTATCCATAAATTGTAAGTATATCCATAATTATTACTTATTTTCTAGTGTTAGTACCAATCACCCTCTGCACAGTGCTTTATAACCGGCGAGTTGAAACTGTCCGCTATAGTTTTCAGGATGCTGTTCCGACTGTCCTCACCCTTCTCAGTAATGAAGCTGTTTTTTATCACATGAAAACTATCGGTGAGCTTTCGCAAACATCTCTGATTCGCTGCAGTAACGAGGCAGTCTCAACAACATCCTGAAAGCGTTATTATACTGGACGCGCAGGATATCCAGCGACCTTTTGGTGTAGTTGATCCATAGATTGCTCGTGTAAAGCCTCTGGCAGACGCCTTGAGGAGTGTATTTTTATTAGATCTGTACATCATACTACGGACCAACATATTGCACCGGACCGCCAGAGTCCTACCCTCCTTGTCAATGTCTACATCATCGGCAAGAAAATGACCTAAGTACTTAAAGGTGGACACCTTTTTTATTGCCAATCTATTCATAACTAATTCAGGGCCATCCTCACGACATTTGCCGCTGAACCCAAAGATCATGTAATCACACTTGCTTACATTATATTTTAATCATTGCCGGCCATTTTAAGTTATCCTCTCTCTCGGTAAAATGCAATGTAAGCATTGTTTAACACTTTTTTTTTTGGTGATTTTTTTTTGTTATCTGTGAGGCTGTGGTATTACTACGATCGAGTTATCCCCATATGTGACGAAACTTTTTTATTTATTACAATTACTTTTTTAAATAACTTTTTTAATTACCTCAATCGGCACGGAGTTGTTTGAAGCAGCAACGATGGAAGTCAAATGGGTAGCGTTTACCTTCCCGTGAATATTTCTGGGTACCTGCTCAAACCGACCTTGCACATCTAATCTTAACTGTGGATGGTCTGTTCGAACTAGCACAAATTCACCTGATAAAAGAAAAAAAAGAGAAAAATGCTTTAGAGTTTTACATAGTTATATATTTATATACACAATCTTATAAAAATATTTACCCATATTATTCATTACAGACCCCAAAAAAGGTTTCATAAAGAATTTTTTTTTTAATTGCCTAATTAATAGGTTTTCTATTGACTCTTTATTTACGAGTAAGTATGAATGCACCAGTCTGTAAAACATTAAATAATTTCATCTTTCAACAGTCTACATACCTCTTCCGTTGAAGGTATATTGAAGATCGTCAAATGTGATAATGTGCGGGTCACCGAAAATACCAGCTACTCCAGGAGGCTGATAGGCAACACAATCTTGAGATGGTCGGCGTTCAAACCTTATTGTAAGAAGAACAGATAATGTTATTACAATGCTTGGAAAATCAAAAGGATTATTATTGCCATCTGTGGAGGTTACTTTAACTACTACTTTACTTACTATTTGTAATCATATGACTGCACGGATGGCGTAGTGGTTTAAAAAAATAATTATGGCTGAATTTCGATTACCAACTGATATTTAGTATTAATTACTAAAAATCTTTACTTCTTCTCTGACCGGAAAATCTAAGAGAAGTTTAATAGGGTTTTCATTAAAATTCTAATGTTTCGCACTTAACATTTTTAATTAGTTAAAATTTAGGTTAAAATCTACTATAATTTATTTGGTTTGTAGTTTATATGTATGTGTATTCAGTTTTTCAGTTTGACATAACAAATATAGAATAAAACTGATACAAACCTGAAAGTTTCACATCCCACAGCTTGTTCTTCCTGCCATTTGCAGCACTGGTAGAAGGGAATCATATCATGGAACCAATGTGATAGTGAAGGTACTTTGTTGGCTTCGTTGTAAGGTGTGAATCCAAAGTCATGAGACCTCGATGGTCGAGAGCCCCACATCTGGTCGTAGGACAACATGAGGAAACCGTTTTTGTCATAGCAGCACTGTTGACCAGAACCTTCAAGACTAAGAAAAAAATGCGCATTTGGATTATTTTCTTTTACTATTTACTGCAAATTTTTAGGAACTTAGCATACTTGTAAACTATATAACTGATGTAGCTTTATTGAAATAGAAACATAGTAAGACTAAACAGAACTGAACTCTATTTGAAGTGGAAGCTTATAGGCTACGAGTACAAGGCAATACCTATACTACATGACATTGTTTTGTTAATTTTTAAAAGGAATGATATTTTTTAGAGTCATTGGGTATATCATTTTTTAGTTGTCTTTTGTTTTTTTCTGTCATAACTGGAAATTTTACCGACGCTCTAAGTATCATATATATATTGTTTTAGGCTCGTTTTTAGGAAAAATAAGTGATATAATACAATAAAAACATTTACAAAATGTAAATTTAAGTCAAAAAATTAAAAAAATATATTATTATGCACATTATCATCTTGTGCACAATGCATTCTCTTCGAGCCCACTTACTATATCTACCATGCTATCATGTCTGTAGTCTCGTTTTCTAAGTTTCCTTCATTTTCTCTTTAATAATAATTTTCCTAAAACTTCATCGCTTTACATTATTCACGGGATCTACTATTCTACTCCAATAAACTACCTCTAATTTCTTTAACAGATTATGTAAAACAGATTTACCTGGGTGTGGCGCTCTTGACGCAATGAATACCTCCCCAGTGATATCTACACGTGGGATTGGTATCTCTATCACAGTTCACGTCAGGCATGAATCGTCCTTTATCTAACAGAGCATGCTCTAAAGTGCAAGGGCAGACCCAAACTTGGGCAGCAAAATTTCTTAAGAAACGATCTGTTCGCAGCCAATTATTGCACATAGCGTTTGGCCAACGTGTACCGTGGAGTCTTTCCCATTGAGGTGCAAAATACCAGCCCAGAGGAATAGGGCGACTGAACAAGATCCTGTAAAAGTAAATTAAGTGTTTTATAAACTATATGTAGAACACTAACCGCAGAGTATGGAAACACATAATACTCGTACTAGCGGAGGCTCAGAATTCACTGAGTTCCGTCCTTCGTGGCTCATTCAATTTTAAATACAAAACTTGTCATAAATGTAGCAGATATTTTAATTATGTACTTTGATTCAACCTAATTTTTTTTTTTTAATTTCGTTTTTTTGTTTTTCTTTTTCATAATTTTAAAAGCAACATTTTAAAAGTAACATCTAGTTGATGGACCTTTTGGTCTAGTGGTTAGTGACCCTGACTGCTAAGCCGGAGGTCGTGGGTTCGATTTGTGTGATGAGCACGATCGTTTGTTCTGTGTCTGGGTGTAATTTATCTATAATATGTATGTATGTATGTATGTATGTCTATGTATGTAAATGTATGTTTATCAGCAGTCTGGTTACCATAGTACAGGCTCTGCCTAGTTTAGGATCAGACAGCCGTGTGTGAGATGTGTGAGGTTATAATTATTATTTATTTACTATGAACCAATATGACATAGGTGATGTTATTTAAGTTTATAGTTTAAGGGCTTTTTTATTCATTATGCTTTTTATAATTTATTAATGTATTAAAAATGTACTTACGGGGAAACCGCAACGCCTTTAAATATATCAGGTGTAGTAAGATTAATCTGTAGAAAACCAAATTGCATATCGTTATGCATGAAGTTATCTCTGTTCCTAAAGTTTTGAGGGTTGATCACATATTCGCCAGTGTTGGCAACACCGGTCTCAATCATGTCTATGTACTCAAATTGAGGTCTAATAGTGACTTCTTTGTATCCCCACAAACTGATCTGAAGTTGGACGTTCAGGTTTGTTGTCAGATTGAAACGATCCCAGGTAATACGTATTTCTTGAGGATAGCGTTCATGAACTGCATCACCAGTGAAGAAGATTTTTTCGGCAGCCGTAGCGGGAGTTTCTATAAATTAAAAAGTAAAAGTCTTTGTACTGGATTAAATTATCTTCCTATGTTTTTTTTCTGTACACCAATTTATCATTTAGTTATGATGGATTCTATTGCCATATATACCTACATATGTATAACAATAGAATAGATGCAACAAACACTACCCAAAATTATAAAACAGTAAGTAATATGATTAGAAAACATTCAGAGCCTTACTACACAGAGCATTTAGATTTAACTACTTCCATTAATTAAAATTAATACAGTACAATTACAGTTATTCGATATTTATACGAATGTGCCTTAAAAGTACAACTGTTATACATTCAAACAAAAAAGAAGCACAATTGAATACTTACCAACAAAGAACCGCCCCTTCCACTTAAAAGGCTCGTTATTTATAGCGATTTCGAACCTAGCGTATCCGTTGTGATAGAACCTGGGTGCCACACAGATGGCCCTGTTGATATCAACAACTGCACCAATGACAGCCTCGGTATCGAATCGACAGGTGATTCTGTCATCAGGGTTAAAGCAAGGACCAGTGATATTGACGATTGTACCTCCTAACATATTACCACTCTCTGGAGCAAAGACGAGGGGAAGATGGGCAGCATCTATAAAAAGGGAAAGAAATAAATTACACTTTGTGGTGAGGAGAGACCATACTCTTAACTATATTCCGTGTGCATGAAAAAAAACCCTTTAAATGTATCTATAGCTAAAAGCAACCAAATATAATAAAAACGATTTGCGGTAATCTTGCTTAAAGCACAACTGTGAGCAAAAGCAGTTTATATTCTTTTTAATGTTTTCTTTATGCAACACGTGAATTTTTTTTTTTTGTCAAAATCCTTTATATATTCTGCCACAGTTTCTTACCTATATCCTTATTACATGTTCCTAAAAGTATATTCTCGTCTATTCTAAATATGTGTCGTCCAGGAAAACCATTAGCCCATCCTCTCCCTGTCAAGTCCCTGAGTACTGAGGCCTGAGAGTAAGGTTTGTATTCGTAGCTTCGAGTTCCGTTACCGGCATTAAAACCGATCTGAAAAAAAAACTCTGTTTAGAAAATGTATTGTCAGGCCTTTGTAAAGAAAACAGTCGTCTCCTGCACTTCGCAAGCCTTGAATTAAGAGGTTATTAAATAATTTAAACATATTTATTTCCAAATTTTCATTTACTGTACTATACTATACTTCCCATACATATCTTGTATTTTCTTAGTTAAACGAATACAATTATCATTTTAAGTAAAAGAACTACTTTAAGCGTTTAAATTATTCAGGTACTTACATAAGCAGGTACACCACCTTCACCAGTCGTGGTATCACCACCGGCCTCAGTGTGAGAACTCCAGTTGATCTCCAGATAGTTGAATATCGCATATGTGAAAACTTCATCAGTCGCTAGCACCATTTGGAAAGTGTTCGTCTATAATATATATAAGAAAAAGTATAGTATAAGCATATGACGATAACGTGGTTTTGGGTATACATAAAAACTACTCTCCTAGAGGCACAACTAAATTGATTGACAAAATCTACATACATAGATTTTGTCAATCAACTGTGGCTCGTCAATCGCCGTCTTCTTCGGGTTCTCTGAAACCGGCGACGGGCTCTCGAGCACGCTGTGCGAAGCTGCTCAAGTTCCGGTGTCAACCAGTACACAGAACCCCTCCTGCCCCACGGCCTGACTCGTGGCATTGACGCGTCACAGTCAACTTAGTTGCGCCTCTAGGAGAGTACTTTTTTCTCAATAAAAAGAACCATTTTTAATATCCATGACAACGTTTAGATAAGCAGTTAAGGTAAAATAAGTAGTTAAAAATAAAATGTTTTGTACACACCGGAATCTAAGAAACAGAACAAAACAATTCAGTAGATAAAGGTAATGCATTCCATTATCAGATAGTGGATACATTTAAGATATAGATGATTTTGTAGAATATGTAAGTACTGTCAGTTTAAAGATTTCGATGACCTTGTTGAAAATATCTATAAATAATCCGGACTACAATTTTAAGATACAGGATTTTGAAGAAAAAAGTGTCTAAATTATTATTTTTGTAAAACATACCATAAACAGTGAGTTGTCGATACCACCAGCGAAGGACATGTTCTTCCAAGTGATAGTGACGGCGTGTTTTGGGAGGAAAGTATTTGAACCAATAACACCCGTGCGAATGTCCCACATTACACGCTCTCGCATCTCCACTCCGAGTTGATCTGTACGCGTCTATGAAAGATATTGAGATTGATTATTATGGAAGGTATTGTAAAAACTTTCAGGGCCTGGGTAAGGTTTTAAGGTAATTCGCAGGGGCCAACGAATTTAGCTATTGCTTGGAGTACTGCAAGATACCGTATAATTCTCGGATGGGGAAACGGAACATATCTGCATCATATAAAAGTCCAGGAATTAAAGAGGCCAGGACATCAATGAAGCAATTAAACAACTTAATATGTAGGCATAGCCGTCTATGTAAAGTAACTGAGGTTGGAGTAATTTCTAAGAATACATGCATACTGTCTCTCTCTTTTTCTTTCTGTAGGCCAAAAGTAGGCCTCAATCTCCTTTCTAGGGAGAGGCCTATATCCAGCAGTGGACTATTATACGCTGTGGATGTTGAAGATGATGATGATGATATATTACATATAAGAGTTAAATGGGTTTTACTGAACAAACTTATTTATCATCATAATATTTCTATTTACCGGTAGATCTCTGTCCATTCTAAAGTACACTCCAGGTCTCCTCTGATCGGGGTCCTCAGGCCGCATACTGCCGATTCGGCACTTGCTGAAGAAGATACCGATAAACGAAGGATCGTTGACGTCTGGCCAGTCCCTCACCGGAAAGGACAAAGGGTACGTATAGTGGTCTGGAGGGTCGCTGAAGTATATGTAGCCATTCATAGAGAGCTGGTGAATAAAAATAAAAATGAATATCTATTATTCTTATTCGTCCTGATACAACCTTGTATGTACGAAGTGTGTATATACAAAGCTGTACAGAAACTGCCAATTCCGGAAAGGGATTCTCAAAGAGTTTTTCCCTAGTGACAAACTGAATATTGTTGTTAAAATACTCTGCTTTAGACTGAAGAATTTAACTGTACCTTTTCCGGGGACAAAATATAATTCTGTAATTTGTAGTATATAGATAAAACTACTAATGTCTTTAAATTTTTCCTTTACTTGTGCTGTGAAATTTATTTCTCACCAAATTGCATGTTTTAAGTCAATTAGAAATACCATTTACATTTTAATATGCGTTTGGACCGTAAAACATGAAAACTTAAATGCCTGTGTCGCCTAATTCAGTAAGTTGAAGTAAGACCCAGCAGCAAGCATAATTATAAACATCTGATAATCTGAATAATCTGGTAATCATAAGGAATGTGTCCGAAAGACGGATAGAAGGAAAACTAAGTGAAAAGCTTACAGATTTATTTTAGGGAACGGAACCCCAAGAATAATATAATGCGAACTTACCCGAGTATAATTGAACCTAAATCCAAAGAACGGTAGCTGGAAATTGAAGTTCTTGTGAATTTGTGGTGTGCTGGTGTGTATATCTCTCTGGTAATCCCCATGGTTTTCGTTACCACCCATATCGTAGAACCAGTACATGAAATTCCCTCGAATCTGTGCCAACCGTTGTGTAGTGATGACGTACGGCTGGCCATTATTCTGGTAGGTTGTGGAAGGCAAAACGCGGCCATCAATGTGATCTGCAAAGTACAAAATACAATGTAGCACTGACTAGCTTCCACCATGTTTTATCTTATATACATATAAATTACCATTGCTTAAATTTTTTATGTGAAGAGGCCCAGTGAAATTTAAAGAAAAAATTGCTTTTGTTTACTTTTAATTGCCAAATTGTATACTTCTCACTAACTACAAAAAGTGACAGGTATTCTTCTCATAATTTCGGATCCAGATATATGATAAGATAATCTAAACTAAAGGGGAGGAGGGTCATGACTCACATTCGCCTTTGATTGACATTATCTTCAAGGACATATTGGTTCGCTGGAGAGCATGCCAAATGAATTGAGATCGCCAAACGGGATATGGGCTTAAATTAAAAAAAAAACAGAAAACTTTAGGCTAGAGTGTTTATAAATGTTCGTGTCTGTGTTAATCCGCAATGGGAAGCCGCGGATCTGACTGTATCCGACAGTCTGCCAACAGGGAGAGATGACGCTAGATTCTACAAGGAGCTGTGTCCGCCTCTACCGCCTACTTGGACATCTGCCAAAAGCGACACTTCAGGGAAGAAAATGTCTATCACAGAATAGTTTCAATTTCTTCTTTTGAATACAAATCTGTCTCCAAAAGACTAGAGAAATGAGTTAGGGGTACACAGAATCCTTATTCTGTGTACCCCTCACATTTTTTTTTATTACGAGCAAATACTACCTAAAATATGTCTGTAACCATTTTCATCTGAGCATCCATATATTCAATTTGTCGTTATCAATGAGGTTCTTTTGGGTATAAAAACATAAATTTCATAGAACAATATTGTTCAATCATACATTATCGGTATGATATTATTTTAAATAAGTGTATATTGATATGTGGCAGTTTCAGTGTGTATCAAGCTTCAATACCGTAGGGCTTCGATATCACTGAGATATGTTATCACATTATATCTCGATTCCAGTAACGGTGATGTCATTTAGCGCCTCAAAATAGTTCTTTGTTTAAAACATTAAATTATTTATACATCTTTTCGTTTTTTATAATAAGGGGATGAAATGAGCAGACGCGACGTGTGATGGAAAGTGACTGCCTATGCTGAACGTCTGCAACTCAGGAGTCACAGGCACGTGGCCAGCATTTAAGGAAGGAGCTCGCTCTTTTCTTGTAGGTTTGGAGGTCGTATCGGTCTAGCAATAACGCAGGTGACAATTAGTTCCACAGATTGGTTGTGCGAGGCAAAAAGTTTCTTGTAAAGTTTTTTAAAATAGTTTCACTGTCGTCAGTTATTTATATTGATTGAGGTTCCCTGTTGCCGTTGCGAATCTTTTAAGTTTTTCCAAAAGTACCTTAAATAATGCGTTGCTACTTTTATAGACAATTTGTTTGTTTTAAAGGCCAACGACAATTTATATGCTAAACTCTTGAATTAGGATTTTGTTACATGTGGCCGTTTTAGTGAGTTAAAATGTATACAGTAAAAAACAGAATCCAGATCGTGAGCTTAAGGAATATTGCACAATCTTGCTAAAAATATCTCTAGTGAAAGAATACTTTTCATTGAGTTACAGGTGTTAAACCTAGTTCAAATACAGATGCAGAATGTTAATAAGACACAATTCTCCTACTGAATAAACATATTATTATTATTCCATGAGAGATTCACAGGTGCATAATTTATTATAATTATGTATGAATATGCGGATAAACGCGATTATGTGATAGGCATAACATACACATGTTTGTGACCACGGCCAAAGCAACCTGTTCAAAACATTAAGCAATTCAAAGACATTGCTTATTAATTCCTGTACAATAATAATAATAACCACACACATAAAAACCTAATACGTAATAAACTGGCCTGTTAGTCTAGTGGTTGGTGATCCTGATCGCTAAGCTAGGGGTCATGGGTTCCATTCCCAACCAGGATAAATATCACCCACTGGTGGTTGGTATCCGAGGAGAGTTCCGCACAGAAAAAAAAGGGTAGAAATGGGCGTTTTATACGCCTCTGGCTGGCCTGTATGTGTTTGGGTATATCCTGGAAGGCGAAAACTTAAAAAGTCGTTAGTAAAAAATAATTAAGTAAAGGTTTATTAAATGCTAGCAGGCTTAGAGGCGTAGTAAATATAAACTCAGTAACAGTAATTGAACTTTATAAGAATCACTGAAAATCTACCTATTGCCGACATGTTCTCATTTACCAATAATAAACTAAATTTGAGCTACTTACGCCCAATTTAGAGTACGAATAAATGTGACAAAGGGATAAATGAACTGAGGTAAATTGTTACTCTTGGTCTAATCATTCAACTGAGTTTTTCACTTCTTTCTTCAAATCGTCTGACTGAGTTTCGGAAAAACAAAATGCAATAAAAGAGTTGCTTAATTCGTTTTCTGTGAGGCCGTGGAATCACTCCGGTCGAGCTGCTCAATATGAGCCGAACCATGACTCTCACAATGCACAGGAACAGAATAGATAATAATATTTCAGACATCTGACACACAACGCTATCTAGTTTCAAATAAGCAGAGTTTGTACTAGGAAAACTAGTTTTTTTTTGTAAATACACAGATATATACATAGAAAATACCTAAACTCCGAAACAAATATTTGCAAATTATACAAACATTTGGACGGGCCCAGGAATCGCACCCAAGACTTTAGCACATCCAGAGGCAGTCTATGAGATCATGTTCAATAGAAAATATTCTAGCACCCTTTAGCTATTTCTTGATTGAATAAAACTTAAATACAGGGGATTAATAGTTACTTTGCAAACCTTCTTAAGTTAAGAGTACAAGTAAGTTTAATACTTACATTAAACTTACTAACTTAGTTGGAATGCCAGCAGATAATAAAAAATATGGTTTCGAAAAGTTTTGTAATATGCGAGTACCTACGCACCAGAATTTTAAATGAGACCATTCGTTGTGTTGACAAAAGGATTAAGATTTGGGTCAAATGTAGTGAAGCCATGTTACGGTAAACGAAAAATTTAGCGTAGGTGTTTTAGATAATTATTACAATGGTTTACTAGGTGTGAATTGTAAACACAATTTTATTCAAAGTGTTGATTTATATTATTATTGACATAAACTAGGGTTGAATGCTTCTAATTGTTTCTATATGAATTTTATACGTAAGCGTCAAGAATGTAGATTTAACTCTGCAATCGAAAACCATAACTTAGAGAGGAGGGTTGTTGCTATAGATTTGGGTGTGGTGCATGATAACAAACTTTTATTTGATCAGCATGCTAGTCAAGTACTCGTAGTTAACAAAGCCTTTAGGGCTTTAGGTTTTTGATTCGCTGTTCCAATGACATCAGAAATATGAAAACCATTAAAGTACCTGGGCTACTCTTGATACTCGTATTCCAATGAGATCGAGAAGTTTCTAAGAAATTTTATTCGAAACTTAGGTTTTAATGTGGTGACGGATTAAGAATACGGAGTGTCACCACCCCCATTCATCCTGTGGGTGTCCTAAAAGCCCGCTAAGGGAGCAAACTACATAGGACAACAGCACTGCAAAGAGAAGGAAAACTTGAAACAAACCCTATAACAACTCGTCTGGCCAGCGTGGTATAATAGGCCACAAACCTCCTTTCTAAGGCGAGGCCTATATCCAGCAGTGGACTAGTAAAGGCTGTTGATGAAACATTCTGCCAGATCATGTTTGACGAAATACTTTGTTGATAATGTGTAAATGTTGGATACTACTATTGGCTCAATTTTGTGAAACCATCTGTTAAGTACTCATTCTTATAATAACTGTGCTTCATCTGTTCAAAGACCAAGATCACGTTGCAGACTAATTGTGGAAGCTTGTAATTGGCATTTATTGATCTTATTTGTATACCTATATTTATATGTTGCTGTAAGTTGCCCCACGAAAAAAAAATGTTTGATTCACTAAGTATACTCTTGGTAAACATAAACTTTATTAGTGAATAATTATTAACAATCCTGCTTAATTCAATTTTATTTCAAGCTAAAGAAAAATAATCGATGAAATACATATTTAGAGAAATTGTTTGCTTTTATTGTTTTCGAGCTCCAGGGGAGATAGGGGATTGTAATTTTTGTATGATTAGAAGAGTTAAACTACAAAAGTCAATACTGTATAATACTGTTGGTCAAGAAGTTAGTGTGCATGGCTGCTATGCCGGAGATCGAGAGTTCGATTCCGACCCATGACCACATTGTGTGATGAGCACGATCTTTTGTTCACCAACCACTAGACCAACTCGTAAGTTTTAATCCGCCTGGTCTTAATCCTTGAAAAAATAATCTTCTTCTTCTTCCTCCGAGTCTTTTTCACAAACTAGGTTGGGATCGGTTAAGTCTACTACTACTTCGATTTTTTACGCCTAACGACTACCATCAGACCTCCACAACCCAAGTACTTAATCATATCAGTTCTGTAGAAGGACTGTTGTCGGACTTTTTAGAACTTCAATTACCCGTAACGATTGCAAATAAAAGAAAATATTTTATGTTATTGTGTAAAAAAAATATCGTACTAATAAATTTCGCAGGTTATTTCAGTTCAATTCGTCGAAGAGGCACTTGTATAAGCCAACAGGTAGACAATCTGTACTTGACCAGGTTCGTTATCTATTGATAACGTGTTGGGCCCTTATCAGTATTTAATTGGTAACATGTCGTATAACCCGACAAGTTTTAATAGCGTTTTATCACTGCAAATTTTTATTACAAATATGTACTTCTTAATTTGGTCTGGCAGCAAGGTGCGGCCCATATCTTATTACTAAACCATTCTGATATCGCAAATGAGAATTGTTTGCTAGTGTTTAAGGAAATAAAATTTGATATTTTAGTTTTTTATACTTGGTTGAAATCTTATTATTGATAGAATTATACTACTGTACTGATAAACAATTGTTTACACTACTTATTAGATTGTGATAGACACACAATTTTACAAAATTAGTCATGTATTAGTAGATCCTGTAACTCTTCTGGTAGTCGAATTTCGTCCATACCTTACTAACTCTAACTGTTTTTACTTTAAACTAGCCTTTTCTCCATTTATTTATTTTATAATAAAGATTAATTTAGATGCTTAATCCAGATTATAATCTATCTTTGTATCAAATTTAATCGAGATTCGTTCAGCCGTACTGAAGTGAACGTCCATACATCTACACATCTCACTAATCTTCGCGGTTTGTATAACATTAATGGAAATAAATCACTAAGGTGGCAAAAACAGTTGATAGAATATCAACAGATTAAACAGTATTGACTTAATATTATTTAAAAAAAACAAAACACACGACAACACAGCTCTAAGTGATGCTTATATGATAAGTTTGTTTTATACAACTGAGTTCGCGAACAAACGCACGGCTTGCCAAGATTTTTAAATATAGGTGCTACGAATTAGTTTAATGGATGACGTATCTGAAGCGCGTACTCGATGGCCGATGGGACTTCGGATATCATTTCCGAGGTCTGGTCCCCAAGTTGGTTGGGGCAGCGCGTGCGTTGGCACGGCTGTTGCCCAACATGAAGGGACCCGATGACTCCTGTAGGAGACTCTACTCGGGGATTGTGCAGTCCGTGGCCCTTTACGGGTGCCCAGTATGGGCGGGGGCCCTGAAGGCCAGTAACATCGCGATACTGCGACGACCGCGGCGTGTGCTGGCCATCAGAATCATAAGGGGGTACCGCACGATCTCCTTTGAGGCGGCGAGTCTCCTGGCCGGAACTCCACCGTGGGACCTGGAAGCGAGAGCCCTTGCGGCTCTGTATCAGTGGCGCAATGAGGCGTGGGAGTTGGGTCGGTGTTCCGAGATTCGAGAAATCGATGACCGGAAATCCGTCATCGCGGCGGTAAGACCCGTTATGGAGGATTGGCTCGAGAGGCGTCACGGGACCCTCTCATACCGACTGACGCAGGTGATCACTGGGAAAGGATGTTTCGGGGATCACCTGTGCGATGGCCAGACCGTGGACACGGCTCTCCACACGCTGTCAGGGTGGCCGGCGTGGGTTGAGCAGAGGCGAGACCTCGTGGCGGCCATCGGAGTGGGAGTTCTCTCACTCGATAGCCTGATTCGAGCGGCTATCGTGCGGAGAGAGAGTGCGTGGAGCTCTGCCGTCTCCTTCTACGAGCAAGTTATGCTCGCGAAGGAGACGGCGGAGCGGTACCGGGAGAGGTTTAGAACTCTCCCGGCCCGCCAGGCCCGGGAGCGGGCCAGGTACCGCAGGCGACTCGGGCGCCCGAGGTCGCAGAACGACCTCCGTCCTCCATTAGCACAGGCCTGGTGAGGGTGACAGGTGAGGCCATCTGTCACCCTAGGAGAAGCAGGCCGGGATGGCGGCGAGCGCGTTGCGAAGCGCGCTCGCTTCCAGGGCGCAGAGGGAATATGGGGTTCCCACACGGGGTGGGGGTCGTCTACTCGTCTGTAGATGGCCCGTCTGTAGATTTCGGAGCACCAGGGACTTCCTTTCTAGGGTATACCTGGTTCCCCGGCTATTAGTACCCGAGACGGCGTGCGGTTTTAGTCGGTTCGAGTCCGACATGCCATTGATAGGTGGTATCCGAGGAGATTTCCAGACGGAAAAGCCCTGCTCTCCGTTCGTGATCTAACAAAGAGTTGTTGCGTTGTGTAGTACACAAGCAGAATAAATGGACTAACTGCATTGTATTTTCGCGGTCTTGTAGAGTAGAACGAAAATAGTCAGATAATGGCTGTATTGTAGCTAAGCCTACAGACATATAATCACGTGATTGCTGGTCCTAACCACACCTAGATAACCACTGGTACGAATGCACTAATACTAAATCTTTACCTTAATTGGAGGGTTTAATGACAATAAAGTTATGTTATTTGTAGCTTTTGAGATTGGAATATTCTGTAACCATTTTCGTATTCGCTTCTGTAATAGCATTTATTATGTCAGTTTAGAGCAAGGGTCTCTGACCCGTTTCCTAAGCAACTCTTTCTTGATGTAAGTATTCGTTTAATATTATTGTGTCAACCACCACGGCGGTCTTCAACCTTAGCATACACTCAATGAGATAACGTCATCATTATGTACATTGTGACTAAATACAATATTACTCACTACAACTATGATTCATGCAAAAACAAGACAATAAATTCTTGGTTATACAAATCATCTAGATCCTAGACGGTCTTGGTGTAGATTTATTAGGCGTGCTAAATATGTTAAATTTTCGCTCCAAAGTTACAACTAACAAAACTTAGAACTTTCTAGATTTTCGCTTTAAATATTTGTGAAAATAATGGTAATGCTAGTCGACATTCAAACAAAGCCCCAATACGTCCTCTAATTATTTAGTATCAGATATTTTGTCTATTTTATCAGTTAGAAAAACGAGGTCGCGATACGATACAATTTTACTCATTATTTATCAACTCACCATACTCATTATTCGTTACTTGTGTAGTATCCGGTGGAAAAAGCATTTGATTTTCACTTTGTGGTGCAGTATCCGATGCTAAATTTACTGCTATTGTGTCGCCTTCAACTGCTCCATCACCAGCTAGCTGATAATTCCCACTTCTTATTTGCAATTGGTCTGTAGTATTTAAAATTTCGATTGGCGCTGCTTCCACATCTTCCAGCAACTCATCTTGAACTGGATTAACGTCAGTGCTAGGTACCACTACTGGAGGATTCTCACTTAGAAGAGTGCTATCTTCATTCACAATAGAATCCTGTCCAATTACACTAATTACTAATAGTGTAACTAAACCTAAAACTTTAACACCCATTTTCACACTATCATGTCCGTCACAGTTCTTTTTTAATTGTTTTACGTCAGGTTGCTTACTATTGTGCTAGTAGACTAGTGTAGCCGACATTATGTGGCCGATGATATGCTATTATCTTTAGAAATACGATAAGATAGCAAATAGGAACGTTAGGTGTGCCAAATTCTTTGTCCTAATCATAGCCCTGTACGCTGGGCTCTAATAGTGATAAGGATTGTATCAAATTAAAAGGGAATATAATATGTAAATGACAATTACTTTGAACCTATGTTCTTTTAGGTAGTTTAAGCTTAGTGTTGCACGACCTGTTGATAGTAAGAGATACCGATGCCTTTAATTACTTGTAATATTTGTGACGTCACTAGCATATTTTAGGGGATAATTTAATAAATGGGTTGTCATTAAAACAATATTTTCATTCTAATACATGTATGAATTGTATGTATGTAAGTATAATTATATCATATTTTTGTAACTTATGTTAATTTTGTCATTTATGTTATTAGTTTCTAAGGAAGAAACGGCAAGTCTGCTTTATGCAATTAAATGCATTACGATAAAAATAGAACATCACAATTATGTAGTACATTTAAGCACATTTTAAGTGGATGCTCTATTTACTATGCACATTTGTATCATTTAATGTTATCAAATGCAATTACTTTTATCGATTTTAGTATTTTAGTAGATAAACTTTGCCCTTTAAACTAAATATCTTTGACAAGGATTACGTTTGATTCCAAATATCTAACATTAAAACAAGTAATTGAGGCTACATCTGTGTATCTCTTTGGGAATTACATGAAGTTCTAATTCAACGGCTAAACTAAAGACATTTATTATTTTTTATTATATATTTATACTAAATTCAGAAGCTGTGGATGGTAAACTGGTCATGTCCTGGATATTCGAATACGGATTTCTGAGGAGTTGCAAAAGATTTATCGCCGTATCCGTTCCTTTCTGGAGGATCTTGAAATAATCTTTTACATTATTAATAAGAAATCAAACTCTAAATACGCATATTGGATATGCGTATTGAAATAAATTATTTTAAAACCACATTACATGATGGAAAACGTCACGTTATTAATTCCTAAAAGTCAACCGTTGTCTCAAAGTTGGTTGTTTCAATATTGGAATTAGAGTTCCTTCTCCATACAGTTAAACCTGGATAAGTGGTATATGTGAGAAACCTCCGCTTTCATATTTACAATAAGGTCCCGACACCTTTGCATTTTTATGCCTCTGTTATTGAGAATTTTAAAACCTTCGTAATTGCGACTTGACCTCTTTAGATTTTTTCGATGTTTACCTCTAAAATTGGGACTTTGTAGCTCCATAACCCGTATAAGTAGGACAATTTATCAGGTTTAGATACAGATGACACACTCTAATGCAAAGCAATATATGGCATAACATAGAATTGTATATTAAAAACGCATTTCTTTCATTTTATTAAGATTTCCACCTCTATGTGAAAAATGGTACATTTCGACCTATCATAGTATGATACCTAAATAAGACAACTTTCATGTTACAAGGGTTGCTATTTATAAATCCAGAATTGGCCAGTTACAGAAGAATTTTAAAATAGTAATTTTAACATTTAAAAATTAAACCGTCTGGCTGAAGAATACAATTTGTTTCATGTAGCTGTCAGTTGTTTCTCCTTTGTAGCGTCATTTTGCGGTTGTCAAAATTGCGTGTCTTCATCACTATGGATTTAACTTGTGAAAATTTTCGTGCTATGATTTATTACGATTTCCGGCGAGGGCTGATTCGAAAACAGTGCATCGATCGGCTCACTTCGTCTTTTGTTGACGAAGCACCATCAAAAACAACTATGTATCACTGGTTTATTGAGTTTAATCGAGGGCAGTCTCTGCTCACGGACGAATTTAAACTAAAAACAAAAAGAAGACGTGTGGCACTCGGGGACTACCGCGGTAAAGCTATTGCATAGCATTTTGTATCAACTTATGCAATTATAATTATTTATTTATTTTATTTATGCAGTATTTCTTTTTTCTTTGATATTAATCCAAGTTACACTTTTTGAGCGTGGTGACCGATAAGAAAACAATTTTTTTTCTTTTATTAAATAAAAATATTGAAGCATATATTACAATTTGTTTTTAAATAAATAAATAAAAAATATTATTATTAAATCAAATTACATATCCATGTAAGATTTTACTGCATTATGTTGACGAAATTTCCTTTGACGTTCAGCATTTGATTTTGGTACTGTTTTTTGTTTTAGTCCAGTCATTATAGTAAGTTCACCTCGGAATTCGAGATACCCAGCTGTATTATTTATTTATTTATTTATCTTAGGAAAGCTTACAGACTAATATTAACATACACGGCTGAGTAACGCTTAAATTGCTAATAAAAAGCTTCCACATAATATATATGGCGCGTTTTCGACCGGAGGCACCGGTTGACCTGAAGTGATGCTGTGACCGCGCGCTCTCCGCCCTCTATCTCGAAAACGGTTCACCGTATAAAAAAAAATTTTGAACAAAATTTGTAGAGAATTTTGTATTCTACAATATTAATAATGAATACAAATAGCAGAAACCCATAGGAAATGAGATATTTCTAAAAAAAGCGCAATAAACCGATTTTTGTGACTTTTGACCTTGAAATTTAATAGTTGCTTACACCCTACTATATGTAGGTTTTGAGACAACTTTTAGGGTGTCAATATACAAGTATTTACAGACTTACAGCTGGGTATCTCGAATTCCGAGATTCTTACCTAATTTAAGCTTAAATGACTGGACTATTTTGTTTTTAGCGTGAGGTTTTTTTTCGTTACGGAATTTCTGGATTCAGTCCCCGCGCTCAAGGCCCTCGATAGAAGCTATGCAATAGCTTAAAAACTCGAAATATTGATGCTGCATGGGAACTAATAATGCAAGGTCGTCATGTTACATATCGCGAGATAGAGGCGTCTCTGGGAATAAGTATGACGAGTATATATAAAATAATATTACACGAACATTTAGCTGTAAAAAAAATTGTGCACGTTGGATGCCGCACAACTTGGAAATTGACCAAAAACGGACTCGTGTCGATTGGTGCAAAAAAAATGTTACAAAATCAGGGTGCGTCAAAAGCTGGATGAATCTTGGATATTTGCGTATGATCCTGAAACTAAACAACAATCAACGGTTTGGGTGTTCCAAGATGAGCCGAACTCAACCAAAGTTATTCGTTAAAAAGCACTTTGAAGCAAATGGTCGCTTCTTTTTTTGGTATAAATGGTCACGTGGCTACAGTGCAACTAGAGGATCGTAAAACGATTAGTTCTGAATGGTACACAACTATTTGTTTGACAGAAGACTGAAGAAATAAGAAAGAATAACCGAAAACACGCACTCCTTCTTCATCATGACTAGCTACACACATCGGCAGAAACACTCAGTATTTAGAAGATCAAAAGATCGAATTAATGGGTCATCCGCCGTACAACCATGACTTGGCCCCCAACGACTTCTATCCCAACTGTAAAGAATAAATTACGAGGTTAACATTTTTCGAGCCGTGAAGAAGCTGTTGATGCATTCAAAATGCACGTTTTAGAGATACCACAATCAGAATGGAAAAAGTGCTACGAAAATTGGTTCCAAAGTATGCAAAACTGCGATCACGGCGAATATTTTGAAAAGCAATAAAACTACAATAAATGCTATATTTTTGTTTCACTTAGTTATTTCGGATACATAAATAGCAGCCCTCGTAACTGTCATGTCCAAAGAAGAACTGTTGGAACGCTGCCACTAACCTCCAATTGAACACCTGATCAGGCGCCACAAGTGGAACTGGATGGGCCCTCGATCATATAGCCATACAGGCACTGGATTGGAACCCGCAAGTAAAACGTAATTCGCGCACCAAAGCAAACTTGGCGACGTATTGTTTGATGACGCACGTTTCACTGTACTAATAAATTTAAAAAAAAATGTTATTGTACGTATGCGTTGTTTGGGGTTTGACACATACAATGTCGTTCCTTCTCTTGTCTAAGAACATAGAATTAAATGGTAGTTCCGCGTGTTTTAGTATGATGTGCAAAATAAATAAATAAGTGTCGAACTGTTAATACTTTGCATTCCAGATAGAGTTGATGAGTAGGGAACCTAAATGGGCGACAGGTGGCTTTAACCTTTAGCTTTGCTCTTTGAGCACATTCAAGTGATAGTAAAATGATCTTAGCAGCGCCACCCTATGAAGTTATGCAATATGTTAGTATTGACTGACACAAAGCCAAATAGGTCTGTTTTATTACATAATAATCTGCAATTCTGCGTAAATTTTTAAAAATGTAATAATAATAATAATAATAATCATTTTATTGAAGTAACCATGACTCATTGCTTGTTAGTACTACATAAAACTTATCCTATGTGAGTAATGAGTTTGCTCATACATAAAAACTTTGTGTTTGCGAAAATTTAAATTTGTGTCATTCGTAATACCTAAATATTTCACATCATCAGTTTTATTTAAAGCAGGGCAAGTTCATGCAATGTCAGCTGATGTACAGTTATGTGCATAAATATTTAGGTTCATCATCATCATCATCAACAGCCTGTAATATTCCACTACTGGACATAGGCCTCTCCTTCGAAAGGAGGTTTTGGCCCACTATACCACGCTGGCCAGACGCCGGGTTGGTATAGTTTTCCTTCTGTTTGCAGTGCTGTTGTCCTGCGTAGTTTGCTCCCTTAGTCGGCTCTTACGACACCCACGGGATGAGTAGTTTAGGTTAGGTGTTACAATTAGAATTCGTGTCAGCGTATATTTTCTTTTTAAGGAATAAGGCGGCAAGCGATCAGTCGGGACACCCGGGGGCCTAGTGTGAGTTAAACTCACATCAAATGGCTCTCGATGGCGAGCGCGTTTGGCTTTACGATTGCTGAAAAGATCACCGTGTCACTGAAATCGTCATTTGATCTGAAATAAACTCACACTAGGCACTCAGTGCG